CTCGCACGGGGCTGGGCTCACACGGGGCCGGCTCGGGCTCGCACGGAGCCGGCGATGCCGGCTGGGCTCGCACGGGGCGGGGCACGTTATGGCCCAGGCCCGCACAAGGCCGGGCCCGCACGGAGCTGGGCTGGCACGGGGCCGGGCCCGCAAGGAGCCGCGCTCGCGAGACCAGGCTCGGGCTCGGGTTCGCGAGGCTGATTTGTCCGAAGCATGCAAGACGGGGCCGAATCGGGCTCGCGGCGGAAACGGCAGCGGCGAGCCCTCTCGGGTTCGTTGCTTGGCTTGCTACTCTGGCGGGCTGAGCCAGGTATGGCCTCGGGTTACTGTACACGCGTAAAGGCTTTCAAATCTTAAAAAAATGCAACAACAACAAAAGCCCCTTATTCTCGTTCGCGTTCGACGTTGCAACTCTTTGAGCCTCTCAAGCTGCTTGAGCGTTTTTCTTCTCTCTTTCTCGTTTTCAAAATAGTCAAGGAAGCTAAAAGAATCTTGTTGCAGTAAAGAGGAACTTCCTAGCCCACTATATTTGCCACGTGGGGTCCAGAGGAGCAACTTCCCTAGTAATATTAAGTACTGCGAATGTCTTGACCATGCACTCTATTACTACGTGAATGAGAAAAGTTCGAGAACAACTTCTACAAGATAAATGAAGCGCAGAATTACATGACAGACTGCTGGACGATCTATACAATACTGTGGCAAGAAGCTCTCTTAAAGCAAATTAGACATACGATTTTTAAGTGCACGGTTAGATCATTTTCTTACTGTACTATCTTGAATATGAGTACCCTCATTGCTGAGCAAGTCGCTGCCTACGCAGTCTCCTTGCTTAATAAAACCAGGTCGTTGCTCCAAATAAAGCTCTGTTGCTTAATAGGTCGCTCCCTCACTCAGTCCCTTCTTACTTCATAGGTCGCTGCCTAAATTAGACGAGTCGGCTTTTCTTCATCTCGCCCCCCTCATCTTGACCCCTTCACTTCTCTTGTGTACTTATTCGTCATGAGAATATAACGGGGCACAAGGGTACCAAGATGCCGAGAAAGATGGACACTAAATGTTGGCCGTAACAACTGAAATTCCTTCCCAAGAACTCCGCTAACATCACAGCGACGGAGCCACGCGTTCGACCCATATCAGTGGTTGCAGATTATTCTCGTTAGAAATGACCGGGCAGAAGAAGGAATCGTCCTGTACTCTTGAATTTGCTGCCACCTTTGCAGTGTAGTATATTGAGAAATAGTTGTACGAGTCATCTTATTTCACTGCAGCCTTTGCTTGTCATGTAGCGAATGTAGAAAACCATGTAGCTCCTTATTATCTAGTGCCATGCAGTGCCTTTCTTTGCCAGGATAGGATAGGATATGGTCCGCCATCGACAGTTTTACAGACATACTCAAGCGGATAATATGCGCAGCCACAGAAGGTCTACCAACACTTAATTATCCTCACTTTATTCTAGAGATGCAAATCATAACGACATTGCTGACATTGTTGGGCATCCCTGAAGTCTTGCCGTCAAATTCCAGCAGCTTGCTCATCACCTCATCCATCCCTGCATTAGAAAGGACAACCTTTAGGTTTGCTCATCTTCCGGGTACTCAGCTTCTCGGTGGAGGCATCATCATCTTAGCTTCTAGAAAGACCATCTAGGAGGAATCATCATCGCATGATTCCTAAAAAAAGACCAGACTTCTAAGCCGTCATCGCGCCATCCCTAAAGACGATAGTACTTAAGTCGTCACTAAGCCCCGGTCTACTAGAAAAAATTAGACCATCGAGGAAGAACTAATCGCTGTTGTATGTAAGCCCTCCACAACTAGAAAGAACTAGACCATCGAGGAAGAATAAGCCGCTCCTGTCTACTAGAAAAAAAAATCATAACAAAGAAGGAGTACAACCACCGTGCTTGGTTCACCGCAAGCTGTTTTAGCCACTTCTTTTCCGGGCTATCACTTCCGTGACATTAGAAAAACTTACGTCTTCAACCCTTCTCATGAACGCTTTTGAAATCATCTCCCTCCAGAGCCGCAACCAGAGACGTGGATGTTACCGCACCTCGATAAGTAAGTGCCTTTACCTCTACTTAGTAACTATGGCCCAACTTCACCTTCTACCAGAATTCTTACCACAACTCGATAAGTATTTTTGGTACTACAACCTTTACTTCGACTCGATTGAGATCATCAAATACTAGATTGAGGTCATCAAGTACTCGACTGAGATCCTCAAAGAGATTGCATCTCCGATCTTCTCTAGTTGTGGATCTGTAGGGAGCTTTTGAAATCATCTCCCTACAGAGCCACAACCAGAGAAGTGCAGCCACAACCAGAGAAGTGCTTTTACTTCTATAGGATACGATGACACAACTTCACCCTCTAGCAGGGTTGATATTACCACAGCTCGACAAGAGAATGCCTGTACTTCTACTTTGGCATGCCTTCACCCTCTAGCAGGGTTGATGTTACCAGAGCTCGATAAGTGCCCTCTACGAAATCATCTCGCTACAGAGGTTGTCACCAACCACAACTCGAAAATTAAGTAAGTACCTTTACTCCGACTATGCCAGCGCATCGACCCTTGCATCAAGTGGATTGCATAAGCAGTATTGCCGTCCTCTTCTGTAGCCGGTTCGCCGCAGGTTTTAGACGTGCTATAGTATAATACGGGTGGAGCCAAGCTAACTAGGAAGAAAAAGTAAGGTTAGGTAAAACGTGCTATAGTATAATCTTAAAACTTGTTTCTTCTGAAAAGTTTGTGTCCAAACTCTTGCAGGGAATCCGATGTTGGAAATTTTTAACCGATGGATAATCTTAAAACTTGTTTCTTGCAGCCCAACTCTACTCCCCACTAGTCTATTCCCAGCTGGCAGCGCTAACCTTACCTGCTCAGTTACTTATGTCACTACCACTAGGTCTACTTACTAGCACCAGTTTACTGAGTATCTGAGCGCATAATTTTTAGAAGAGCCCACGTCACTTTGTTGCCAATGTTAATATGTTGTGAACCCACGTCACTTATATTAATGTTACTAATTCTCATTCACATGATGCATGTTACTAACTCTTAGTCACAGGTGGCCATAGCATACTTGCAAACGATTTTGCATCGCCAGTACATTTGTTCGAGAAACGTGTCCCGAAAAAACGAAAGCACCTGCTTCGTATCCTGCGGTCGTTTTGATTTAGAGCATCTTCCTTGTCGTGGGAGCATCTTCCTTATATGGGAGCATCTTCCTTATATGGGAGCATCTTCCGTACACGAGCATGAAGAATTTTGAGTGCTTCCTTTTCAAGTAGAAAAAGAACCAAGGATGGATGATGCTGGGCGAGGATGCATCCTGAGCCCCTTTGACCCTTGACAAGCATCTCTCCTAGGATGTCTTCTCTGAAGATGTACCATTGCCCCCCAGGAGGCTTCGTCAGCACAATAAAAAATTTCGCACAGAGTACAGCTCACTCATTCATTCATTCATTTTTTTACCTGCTCGAGAGGTGTTGTCTAGAGCGAGGGGACGGAAGTACTTCTGCCATAATCAATACTGCCATGGGAGTGTCACCATTTGAGAAGCTTCGGAGCTCGAAGAGTTGCAACGCAAATTCAAACCTCATGCGGCTCAAATCCATGTGGATCAATTCACAGAAAGAAACTGTCGACGCATGCTGAACTGCCGATGACCAGTCCCCAACTTGCTGCAGCGACGAAGCCTTAGATTGAACAACAACTACTAAAAGAAGCATACTTCTGATAGTTAACGTGTTTAGTAGTTGTTGTTCAATCTAAGGCTTCTTTTAGTAGTTGTATACATCAGTAGTCCTCTTAACAGTTATGTAGACGTTAAGCATACATCCTCTTAACAGTTATCAGGCGCCTGTTAAGCATACATCAGTAGTCCTGTATCTTAGATTGAACTACAGGACTACTGATATGCTGCAGCGACGAAGCCTTAGATTGAACAACAACAACTACTTATACAGGACTACTTATAATGTGTTTAACTACTAGACGAAGTCACTTTTCTTAAATAGTATACGGCGTCATTCGTCATTCGTGCTATGAAGTTGTCTGTTATACAGGACTACGAGAATCATATCCTATTCCTAGTGGACTACGAAAATAGTATCCCGCCATAAAAACAGCTCCCCCCATGCCTCCTGCAGGGAGCATGCCTGCTGCACTGGATGATTTGGAACTACTCTGACTGCGCAACGAAACTGCCTTATTCTGCAGTTGGTCGCGCCAAGAGTTCACCTTACTCTCCAGTTGCTACAGTTAGATGTCACTTCACCTTACTCTCCAGCTGTGCTACACTTACAGATGGCATTTGAGTGACAACGATTTGCCTTCTTAAGCTTGAAAAAGTCCCGTCATCATTCATAATTTAGGTAGACTTCGCATTTATGCAACGCGTAATCCGTCACTCGTGCGCCTTCCCGCTGGTCTCCTTCTATTAGAATCTTTATGTCTTTAGAAGAGAACAGCACGCCAACTTGCAACCCTTGCAGTGGTAGAAGGTTCAGGTTAAGGTTAAGGTTGAGGGTCCACCGCTTCGCGGCCAAGCCGCACCTGCTAGGACAACGTGGGTTCGAGTAGAACCATGTCAACCTTACAGTGGTAGAAGTGTATCTATTTACCTAACAGCGGAGTCATCTTAGTTTCTATCTATTCCTTGAAATTACTTCTGACTAACCCTTATTGAAATTTCCTTGGATCACTTAACCCACTCCTTCCTTGAAATTACTTCTGACTAACCCTTAATTTCAAGACAGATCTACCTATTCCTTGAAATTCCCGACTAATCCTTAATTTCAAAACAAATCTCGCATGCCTTGGCCCACAGACGCGGGTGAGCGTCTGCCTGACTTCCTCCGGATCCAAGCTTGAGAATAAGACACGCTGCAAATTCAACAACGTCTCTTGGAATAAATCGGAGGTTAGAGATAGTCCCTTTTAGGAGGTTAGGATAGTCCCTTTTAGAGATAGTCTCTTTTAGGGGTTAGAGATAGGCCCTTTTAGAGATAGTCCCTTTCAGGGGTTAGAGATAGGCCCTTTTAGAACAGAGATCATGGCTAACTTTATCGTGATACATAGGTTAGGTTAGGTTAGGTTAGGTTGGGGCCTACCATCCGATGTGGCAGACTTTAGCGGCTGCTGGAGGGTGGTTGTATGTGTCATGTCATGATAGTGGCTTTTTTGGTTGAGTATGTGTCCTGTCATGAAACCTCTTTTCTGCAGTTGGAAACAGCTTTCTTTTGTTGTCCCACTGTCTAGTACACGCCAGAAGCATTTAATTAATGGCCGAGAAGCCGGAGAGCCTCTTTTTGTCGTCCTACCGTATGATAACCATAACACTTCATCAAACGGAACCGCTTTGTGGACTGGCACTTGCAGAGGATGTTGAGGGCGATTTCGGAACCCAAATTGAGGAATTGCTAATCCTCTCGGTAAAAAATCCTTATGATTAGAGACGGGCACGGTACTAAGTATGTACCTAAGTATGTCATAAGCGACTAAGCCTTAGATAGTCAAACGAGTATGTAATAAGCGAGGCAGAGGGGCACGGTACTCATTCATTCATTTGAGTCGTAGACAGTACTACTCCACTGCCAGCAAGACAAGAATACCTAAGTGTGTAATGAGTATGTCTCTAGACTAGCCATACCGTATAGCGACCTAGTACTCGAGCAATGTAGGCGCATAGAGTGGACTTACTTCTATGTGACTTCTCAAGTAGCATCTATACGGAGGTATAGTTTTTAGCATAGGAAAATAGTAAGAAAGCCATGTAGACGAAGTTAAAAACTACATCTACTACATCGTCTTTGTTACATCGTCTTTGTACTACAACTACTAACACTTAGAAGAATAAGCACACCACATAAGATAAGGCAAAACGCGTCGGCGGACGCTGTTTTGTTCATGCTGCACAGTATCGCGGACAAGCAAGGTCGTTTCCTCGGTTCTAGTTGGGGCACCTGAGTTTCGAAATCAAAGTAAGTTACTCTGCGGTGCTGCGAATCTCTAGGAAATAATCAGATAGTGACGTTACAGCACAAAAATGAGTTTACTTCTCTAGAACAACAGATATTAGTCACAAGTATAAGGTATACCTGCTGCTGGAGGGTCTAAGTAATCCAATATTAGAAGTCACAGGTAAGGTATACCTGCTGCTGGAGGGTCTAAGTAATCCTAGAAGGTATACCTGCTGCTGGAGGGTCTAAGTAATCCAACATTTCCGTATCTGGCAGCCATTCTCGCAAATATTTTAGTCCTGCGAGTAACACGTTAGAATTTCCTCAATTTTGTTCAATATGCATCTCCCTATAGAGGACTCACTGTTTTCTTAAAGACAGTAACTTTTGGTAGTTGTTGCGTAAGAACTTGCCATCGGTTTAGTGTAGTTGAGCTTAATGCTTGTTGAAAGGGTACTTGAAAAGGTAACTACTCCGTACCTGAAAAGGCACCGGTGTACTTCTGAGCTAATGCACTTCTTAGATATTACCAAGCACCAGATTAGTACAGCACTATAGATACTAAAGTAAGAATAAACGCAACCCCCATTTAATACTCACGAGAAACCATAAACAAAGGTAGGATATTCACGAGAAACCATAAACAAAGGTAGGTCCCTGACTCCATTTTGCTCCATCAAGGTGAGCGATTCCTTCAATTCGGCCTTCACGTCTTGCAAATGCCGTGGTATCTTAGAACTAAGAAGCGCGCTACTTCAGCATTCAGATATAAATTCATTCATTCATTTGCCTAGCACGAGGTATTGTCTCAAAACCTAATTAGGATGCAAAGGGATGGATTTTCGTTCTAAGGTGTTTGAAGGGATAAGCCTAAGGATAGAGCAGGGAAAACTAACCGGCTGTTTTACTTTCGTCCCTTAAAAAGCGTCGCTGCTATGTTTTACTTTAGTGCTTACTTTTAGATATTCAAAGTAGAAAATTAAGGAGTCTTAACAATCGCATGAACGTCGTTTCGATTGCCGCCGTAGTGCGACTCTTCCTCCAACAGGTACAATTGTGCAGCACCCTGACAGGCTTTGTAGTACTTTGCTCGGATTTATGAACAAAAGCGATGAGATAGGGGGAGAGAGAATAGGAGAGGACAGGATAAGATGAGAAGGATCGATTGCACGTAACAATCGATTAGAATGAAACCAAAGCTACTTCTATCATAGAATAGCATGCACTTGTTGTATTCTTATCTATCACGACAAAATAGCATGCACTTGTTGTATTCTTATCACAAAATAGCATGAGCTTGTTGTAAACATGATTGTGTGACCTCTTGTCATAAAATAGCATGCGCTTGTTGTAGTCTACGATGGTCGGCTTCGGGCCAAATAAATAGAGCCGCTGGCGCACCACGGCTACGCGCAAAGACACTGCCACGACGATGTGCACTACGTCTTAGTAGGATATATTTGTTTCATGATCCGCTGAAAGAGATACATAAGGTTTTCCGCTGAAATCAGACAGTAGTCCCAAGAAAGTGATGGATGAGTTCTCCTTTCTCATTCCAAATTCATAAGTGTGGCGGCGTCGTTGTCCCAGCGGAGGAGGTGCGAGATGGGGAGAGGGGCCCCACTGTTGCCATCCCCGCTGCTGTCGGACTGGTGCCGAATGGTTGTAGCTGGCCAATACCGGCAGCAGTAGCACTCCCCGGTAAGGACCCAAAAGCGCCTGCCGCATTGTAGTTCGGTCCTGCGCCACAATTCGGGGATAATCCACGCCCTCCTGCTGCACTTAGCAGAGGTAGGAGGGTACTAATAGGTTGCGAATAGGGTTACGAACGACCTCCGCACTATCGAGGGAAATTAGCCGGCTAATTTACTTTGTGTGCTTTGAGCGTCGCGGGACCTACACCCTCCCAAAAAGGCGATATTGTTGGGAGGACGAATCTAGATTTGCCGCACGCCTCGCGTCGGAGACCTAACTATGAGGAGCTAGGGAGGGGGGTGAGACCTACCTATCACTCCGCCCAATGTACTCTAAGCCAGTATCTAGTTCGGTCCTGCGCCAGAATTCGAACTTAGCGGAGGTGGGAATTTATTACAACTAATAGGTTATAATGGCGTATAATTATAGTCTATTATCGAATTTGTTATAAGCACCGCCTTCCACAACGACTTCTACCAAAAATTACTGTCTTTATAAGAAAACAGTGAGTCCTCTATGGTCCTCACTTCTCAAGGACTTGCTTCCTCGTATACTCAGTTGAATACATAGCGAGGTACAACGTCTTGCGAGGTATGCGTAGATGGAAGCATGGTCTTCTTGTCCACTACTGCCTTAATGTAGGCGACGTACATATTAACTGCAGCTCTTAATGTAGGCGACGTACCAGGGCTCGCGGCCGAACTGCTGTTCGCTATACTTTGGTCCATCGCAGGAGGCGCGGGGAGAGGGCCTTAGACGGTGTTTCTTGTGTTTTGCTGAACCTTTCTCCACTATAACTAGCAACTACTCTTTCTACCCTCTTTCTACACAACTCTTTCTACACCTGTAAATAGAAACGCTTTTGATCTTAACGAAAGCTCGTGCTGCCGCATGCTGAGGATGCCGCAGACACCGGTGATCTTGTACTTTCTACCCCTCTTGAAAAGAGCCCTTCCGTCCCACCGCGATAGTCTTCAAACGGAACGAAATCCCATGTACTCGCCAAGTCCTCCAAAGAGACGATAACCTCAACGCCCCTCGGACGTTTCTTCGTGAAACCACCAGGACAGAATGTGACGCCCTGATTTAGACCTAGACCCAGAGAAGATCACCAAAAATATAGCATGATTAAGAGTATGGCCTTCTATCAATCTGCGGTCTAAAAAAATCGCCTTAAGTCAACCTTAGATATTCTTCAAGAAAAAAATATAGATTTTTTACTATCACAAGAATAGTCTTTTTTGAGAGAAAGTTGATCTATCCTCCACAGCATCGTGAATTCGGTCCTGCTTCTAAATTCCAAACGTTGACACCGTAACAGCAGCATCTTCCACTCGGATCGACCATAAGCGTTTGCGGCACACCAGCAATCCAAAACTCTACAAAAACTCCCCTTTCGTGCCATGTGCCCATTAGAACTCAGCTATCTGTTTCTGAGCAGCATAGGAACCAAGCCACGTGACGGATTTCTTTTATATACTAAAACATCTCCATCTTGTTGCATCCAAACTCCTCGACTTAGGGTCTTCCTTGAGCGATGCCTTAAGAACGACCGCATTCGCAGAGGAAGATGCTACACCTGCTCCCACAGTGACGCCGCTAATAACAAGCTGCGGAAAACTGCTTTTATTCCCGCCACTATATTAGAGCCCAAAGCGCTTCATTTCCTAAGCTCATTTTTTCAGAATCCCAAGAAGAAAACGAAGAAAGATGACCACACTTCGAACTGGATCGTTTTGAGCCTTAACTACACATTCCCCCAGGTCCGCCACTCGTTGAAGAACGTTGTTGACTGCCGTAGACCGAATGAGAAGTGCCCGCTCCTCCAGAAGCCGAAATTACAGGTGGCACCACAGTAGAAGCTTTCAAGTCCTAGATTAGCGAGGTACAGGTAGGAGTAGTAATAGTAGTACACGCAGGCAGCAATAACAAAAGAGGTCGTGCACGAATCATTGACAAGAGAGTTTTGCTGTGTTCTTTGTTGCATAGAAATGGCCCAACAAAACGTAAACGGCAACTTCTAGAAGTAGTAGTAGCGAGTAGCAGCTTACCCATTCGTGAGGCTACGAAGATCCAACCAAACCAGTACTAGACAAACTTCAGACATATAAGAGTCACAAATTTTGAATTTTCTTGCAATGATCTTAAGTTGTATCTAAGAAATTTTGAAATCCAACGACGGCTATGAATGTACTAGCATAGAGGTGCCAATTTTAGTTCGTTGAAAGTCCCACATATGTTGTTTGAAAGTCCCAAATATAAAATTTTCGACTTTATCTTGTTTTAATTCAATTCAAATGCCTATCAACGCAGTTGAAATGAATGCACTGCCATCAGTTGGCCTCTCCTCTCCACAGCGATCACCTTCATCTTCATGAGTCTACTATCACCAGGGGCAGGCTGCCCCAGTATGCTGAAAAAACAATCGATTTCAACTGCATGAATCAACTATCAGCAGGGGCAGGCTGCCCCAGCATGCTGAAGTACTGACTGCATGAGTCGATGATCAGCAGGGGCATGCTGGCAGGCTGCGCCACTTATCACCAGCCACCAGTGTCCTTCTATGACTTGCTTCCACTACACACCTGCACGATTAGCTACTTCTAAAGCAGGGTCGCCACCTCTAGTACACTCCATAACTCTAGCAGAACAACCTGCAAATTTCCCATTAGCTCTACTGATACGCGACCGCCAGAGAGAGACCCATTTCTGGCGTGAGCCGCAGTCGTACCACTGGCCATGAGGTTAGATTATTGACTATTTCAGCCATGATGTAAGAGTATTGACTATTTCAGCCTCCGCTCTGCAGTAAAGGTCATCCAAGAGAAGTCGTCACGGCCTCTCTGGGTCTCAAGAGACACTTCTCCAGCAGCCGAGCAGTGACAAGTTTCTTTCGTCTTCCTTTGAGAAAAAATCAACTACATCTCAGGCAAGGAGTCTCCCTCTAAATGAGCCTTGCTTGTCCAGATAGAAGAACGCAATCGAGATGAACAAATGACAAAGAAAAATTCTTCTGAAGTCGGAAATCAGTGCCCTTACCATAAACACTACTCCCTAGTATATTCTACTGAAGCAATCATCTTCATTCTTAACACTAGTTCCCACAGCGTAGCGATTCTGGGACGAAGAAGCATAGCTGCCTAGACTGTCCTTCGACGACGTTGCGTTGGCAACGCGAGCCTCGCGAGTTCGTCGTGCTGTTTTCGCCGTCATCAGCGGGTCTAAATGCAAAACCTTCAAGATTTCACCCTCCGCCAGGGATGTGCAACCATAGCAATCCACAGCAAGTTAGAAAGAAAAGGAACTTTGCTGCATAGGTTGTGGATTACGGAGTACTCCCGCGTAGTCTTTGATAGGAATATATTTGGATTGTCGAGTTCTCCTCACTTCAGGTAGTTGTGGGGAGAAACTACTACGTGGTGGAGGGAAACTACTAGGTTGTGGAGGCGAATAACGCTACTAGAGTGTCGCTCCGAAGGGTAGGTAGTGTCCCCGTCTTCCTCCTCTGAGGGAGTGACTGCCTCCTTCTTCTTCTGACTCACAAGGTAAATAACGTCCTCGTGAAGAGCGGCCTAGACGAGTAATTTGTCTTCTTTGGTGAATACAAATAGCCGGACAAAACAACTTCTAGTTGCAGCCAGTGGTAGCTAGTAGCAGTCTACCTATTCGTTAAGCCACTAAGATCATTTAGAACATTTTTCCAGTTTGATTCTCCATCTTTCCAAGAAATTTTGACTATATTCTGTTTTAATTCATTTTGAATCCAATGGAGACATGTTAATCAGCACAATCTGAGAGAGTTTAGAGATCATCTCAAACTCAAACTAAGGTGCTAAGATGAAGGTGTTAGGTCCTACCATTGCACTATTCTACTGCTATTGTGCTACCTTTTCCAAGATTTGAGGTTACTGCTTCCATTTTCGTAGGACTTCAAAAACCTCAAATTGAGTTTGAGAGTCCTGAATCCAAGAAAATCTGATTTTATCTCCTTTTAATTCAATTTAAATCCCTGTCAACGTCTTTGACACGACTGCATTGCCATCAGTTGCTCTAAACTACACACAGCAATCGACTTCAATTGCATGAATCGATCATCAGCAGGAGCATACTTCTGCAACATGCTGAGAATCAATCGATTTCAATTGCATGAATCGATTATCCGCAGAGGCATACTACTCCAGCATCCTCACAGGCTGGACTACTATCACCGAGTACAGCCACAAACAATCAGCATGACGTGATATCAAGTTGAAACGAACAACGTGATATAGGAGTCTATTCTACTTGTGATAACTCTTAGTGTACTCACCCTTCCACCACAATATGCATGTAGACCTTAGAAATCTACGAAATCAATGCATGAAACTACAGGATGTACTATTCATATTTGATGCAATCCCATTTCATTTCTTGATATTCTAAGGTCCACATGCCCGAACATGTGATAAGTCTTAGTCTTTTCTTTGCACCATAATACTTCAGCAAAGGCGGAAAGAGATTTTCACCCAGAGACTTGAGGCTTTCGCAGTGCGCCAAGTGCAAAATCTCCAGACACGTAGCTTGCTGCACATTCACTGCTGGTGACTTAGATGTAAGATTTTGTAATGCAACTAGCCAGCCGTGAGTAGTGAGAATGAAACTACGCAGTACTAGTCACTGTAGCTACACAGTACTAATGACTCCTCCATCCTTAATGAGACTTTTGCAGTGCGATGCATTTACGCTTCGCAGAAAGGGGGCTGCCTCGAAGAGCGTTGAGTAATTGAGCTCTCGCAAACTACGACAGTAGCTCAAATCCAGACTTTTCAGTGCTTTGAAGTGTCCAGAGAGTTGCTGTAGACGAGGTAGATGTGACAAATCCAAGTATTAGAGTTACTTATCAAGCAGTAAAAAGTGCAGAAGAGTCTTCCTCCTTCTTTCAGAAAAGCCTAGTTACCACGAGGACGTTGAGCCAACATACAGTGCACTCTTCAGCTCATCCTTGACTTCATTCCCAGCTACGTCTACAGCCTCAATGAGGGCGTTCCACTCAGCGTCGCCTAGAGACCACAGTCACCGACAAGTGAACAATGCTATTTTTACATGAGGACACAGAGAACATCACGAACAAGTTGGTCTTCTTCTTCGACTGTGATCTAAACCAAAAGCATGCTCTGCCACCGTTCCATACTTGATTACTTACTAAGTAGACCGATAATTGATACTTACTAAGTAGACCGATAATTGATACTTACTAAGCCTTAAAAGTGCTCTGCCACCGTCTCCATCTTGATCACGCGCGCACGATACGACTTCTCCAGATTCACGATCTTCACGGTCTTGCTCTTGAGAAGGAGCAAATCTCCTTGAACACCTTCGCTAATATATTGAGGATGACCATTTTCCTTCTCGAAGAATTGCATCTTTCGCATTTCCGGAGCACCGCTCTTGCTTTTCGATGTTACCTTGCTGCCAATGCGCGATGCCTGGGGCAAAATCGTCACTTTTTTCGACAAACTACCATCCGTCATGATGTCTCCACTATTACTGCCAAAGCCAGGAGCGTTTATATTCACGTCGTAGAATTAGGGCGGTTGGCGTCCTTGTGAAAGAGATCAAGGCACAGCTGCCTCTCACGACACCTAACTTTCGCTTTCCTAATACGAAAAATCAAAACATCCCAACTCTTCAACGAAAATGCCTATCATCATCTTCTTCTTCTCTATACTCGAAAAACTAAAATAAGCGAGTAACAGACGAGAATAACGACCGAGATACTGTGGAGAAGGAAGAGTAGCCTTGATGTTAATAGACTACACTGCTTCTGCTTTCACTACACGAGAAAAAGAGTGATGATAGAAAGAGCACTTTTAACGTTTATTTCGACATCAAGCTACCTCCCTTACTTCAGTCGGTAACTCGGTTATTTTGAGTTTTCGAATACTTTAGAATGAAGGTAAACTCCCCTATACTTTGGGATGAAGGTAAACTCCCTGGCAAAAGATCCAGATCATAGACCACCATAACGATCATAGGTCCCATGAATGTAACTGGCAACTAGAGCCGCATCTTGCTCCTCCTTGGAGCCAGTTTTGACCCACCACCGCTTTTGAAGATCGTTCGAAGAAGCTTCTACAGACCCTCCAGCTGCACTCTCTGCGGCGCTACCGAGAGAGGCATCTCTTGTAGTAGTACCTAAGGAAGAAAGTGAAAGATGGGAATCTGAGATACGTTTATTGTAGTGTGCCAAACTATTTAGATACTCGAACTCTTTTTTCCAGTCTACCCAATCTGAGTTTCTCCACAGTGTGCACCATCAAGAAACGACAACGCGCCAAGTCTCGAATGCCTCTTTCTCCACCAGTCCACCCTCAATCAAACGTCAATACTAGTTCTTTGGCGTCTCTCTCCCATATTAAGTACCCAATCTCCTGCACCCTCTAGCCACCACTTCCCTTAGTCTGGCGCATTTTTCCAGAGGTACCAGAGTCCGAAGGCGGCTACAAAAGGACACTTCCAATTTCTCTAGGTGCTCAATATCAGCCAAGCAGTGCAAATCCTCACTTTCCAATTATAATTAGAGGAGGATAAGCGGGTAAACCTTAGATAGTCAAAAAAGTTCCACCTGAGACGAAACAGTCCCGAATACAGGGTAATGATTATAATTAGAATTAGATGAGGATCCAGTTAGAGGTTAATAATTATCGTCACGTCCTAAAAATAGTACTAAAATGAGCGTGATCAACTTCCGTCATAAAAAGGATTCCGGTCGAGAATCAGCGTGTGCAAATGTCGTAGGACACTGACCAGCGACAGAGAGTCACGACGCAAATTAGCCACTTCCAGAAACCCATCTTACAAATTCTTTATTTTCTGGGCCTCTATTTCCAACACCTTGTTTTCCCATAATTATCCTTAGAAAAGATAGTAAGTACTTACAAGAGGCCCCAAGATGCTTCTGATCGAGAGTAGGACGACACAGAAGATACTTTTGGAGATCGAGATGGGTGGCCCCAAGAGGAAGATGCTTTTGCAGATGGGTTTCCAGAACCAATTGTTACTTTGTGTTCTCATCTGTGTCGACAGTATCCAGAAGGAGTCTTAAGTAAAGGAACATTAGAACAATCCAGGATTTCGATAGCGGGATGCACGAGAGACGCACAAGCGGTCCACCTTGGATCCAACGCAGGAGGAAGATGAGGGTAACCATCGTCGTCCGAGGATGAGTCCTCTGACGCATCGTCCGAGTCGCCGTCTCTGTCGAACGGTGTCTGTTGCGAGTGGAGATCATTGGGTGGTAAGGTTTCATTCACGTCATTCCGCTGACAAGAACCGCCAGAAGCGAAGTTCTTGTGGTAAGGTCGAAGTTGTGGTAAGGTCGAAGTTGTGGTACTAATTGTGATCAAGGAATAACGAGGATTCTCACCTGAAGCTTCGTTAGTTTGTGTTGACCTGTAGAGAAAATGTTGTGCTGATACCAAGAAGCGACCAGGACCAACCTCCCTGTCTATTCGTCTATCACTTTCCCAGATCATCAGGCACCGCGGTGGCTGTCGAGCAACTACAAGACAATGACCTATTCAAAGATAAAGTGTCTCATGTACTCCTTCGTCCTCGCTATCGCTCAACAATTTCCTCTTTCCGCCCTTCGGCGATGTTGCCCCAACTAAAGCAGCTGCTAAATCGTGTAAGCTCGCTTCATCTCCCAAAGATCTGCCTTGCGGTTTCTTCACATCCCCCTCTGATTGCTTTTTCTTTTTCTTCGAGGACTGATGCTTTTTCTTCGAGGAGGAGAGAAGCTTGGCACCGATACTGTTAGGGGTGATCCTTGTAGAGTAGAGGATGTGAAAAGCATACAAAACTCCACAGTCGTGAATTTTGTCCATCCTCAAGATGAGTCGTCACTATGCTGACTCGAGTGGAAGGAGCTTCCTCTAGATCCATTATGCCTCCTTTATCAAACCCCTCTTGGAGTCTAAGGCTCCACTACTAAGCAACATCAACAGGAGCGATCACAGTGAGACAACCCAACCAGAACTTCTGCTCGTGCTCAATGCCTAACTAGTTAATGTCAGATGATGTCATAACATCTCCTGTGGAAGTATCCCCCCCTCGTGCACCACTTCCAGTGCCTCCATTTCCGGTCGTCCCTCCAACCGTACTAGTCATGTTGAACTGATTGCGGACGGACAGCGTAGGCTTTAACCGACGCCAATCCCGTCTCATGGCTTCCTCATGGTCAGCAGTAGAGAGGAGCCGTCGTTGTGCTGGAGTTACCTGCATTTACTGGACTGCACATAGTGTACCGACGAGGTACTAGAGCGTAACTAGGTAACAACGAGTAAGAGTCAAAGAGTAGGAATCAACGAGCAGGAATCAACGAGTGACAAAGAACGGTAACGTCATCTAGTATGGATAGAAAGCAAGTGGGAATGACTGTAAAGAGAATACCGTCGCGTATAGTACTCGTATAATGTGATTCACAATGCACAAAAATGAAAGATGTTCCAAATCCAAAATTCTTCTTGATATCCAAGAATTTCTGAGTTTATTCCATTTTAATTGAAATCATTTCCTGACGAAGAGATAAGCAAAATATGAGTCAGAGGGCACAATTCAAGATAACAATATGCTATGTTTGCCTTGAAAAGCTTCAAAACCCTAAAAATATCAAAATCTAGCATCTTTTAACAGTGTATCTCTTGGATATGCATGAACTGTTAACTTTCGAGGGTATGATTTCAAATTCGAATGCTTTTGAAATGCTCAAAATCCAAGAATTTTTGAGTATATTCCATTTTAATTGAATTCCTTTCCTGATGAAGAGATAAACATAGCATCAGACAATTGGTACATCCTTGCATACTTCTATTGTGATGGTCCTAGAAATCTTCAGAACATCAAAATGTAGCTTATGTAGAGACCCTAAGTCCTAGAAATTCTAGAATTATCGCGCTTTGAAGACGTCAACCATGTAAGAACACTTGAGTTCTAGAGAAATAGAAAAGCAAAACATGGGAGGAATAGTAACAGGAGCAGAATCTTCTTGGTAGTGGTCAATCTCCCCGACACTCTAGAGTCTGCCCAAAAATCAGCCCGGTATGCTGAGTTCGTTTGAGTTTGTGGATGGCCGTTGGCTTACGGCCCCGCCCGTCTACCACGCGGGTAGTGTGCCTAAGTAAGTGTGTCGTGCACACAGAAACTACCAATTACTCCCACTAGAAGCCGAAAAACTCCATGCCAAAATAGTTTATGCCGTTGTTTTCAGGGTCGACCTGCATACCTAATACCTTATACCTAGTACCTTATCCAAATCCGGTCCATCGAATGAGATCCTTCTGACATGCCCGCTCTTCCCTGCCGCTTTTCCAAATCTGCCATGTTAGATGAGGACCCATGAAAAGGCGTTAGATCTTTTCAACAAGTAGATCTTTTAGCTCTTTTCAACAAGTAGGAAACGGCTAAAAGATGCTGTAAAAAGGCATGCATTCCCGGTATCCGTAACCATGCTCGACCGAAAAGGTGTTAATGATGTCTACCCAGTTCTTCAATTCCAATTCTGGGCAGATCTTGTCCACCTTGCAGCAGCTGTAGTATGCCTGCGAGTCCAGCTGGATGCTTAGTCTTTGCTTAGAGTGCTGACGTCGAGATGAGTGTTGACGTCGAGGTGAGTGCTGACGTCGAGATGAGTGCTGACGTCGAGATGAGTGCTGACGTCGAGACGATGTAGCAAATAATGTTGATGAACCGAGGAAGACCAAAGACAGGATGTTTCATTAAACAGGCCTCTTGACTCTTTCAGTCTCTGCCTAGAGAGAGTGAGGTACCAAATAAGCGCCATCACCAAGATGCCATTGCGATCCAGGACACCTTCTTCCGAAGTCCTTGATCCTTCCTTCTTCCTGGCTCTGTCGCCTTTAAACACTTAAACTACAAACGCCTGCCTTCCGTTTCTGACACTTCAGCTTTCCTCCAACCACTCCTAGCCTGGACACTCTTTCTTCAAGAGCCGGGCCATGCACGCTTCTAGGCTTCAACCATAATTTTCATGTTCGGCTGCAATTGACGAGCGGGTAGTGTGATCAGCGGCCGCGGGCCGGGAAGTGCGCGGCCAGTGAGAGGACAAGTCTCTGTAGAAGGCGGCCGTTTCGTCAAAATCATTGCGACCATTACCTGGCGGGTGAGATGACTTCCCTTCGCATAGAAATCACGCCGCCGAATTCACGACGTCGAGTAAATCGATAACTGAATAAGCAAAAACTCAAAAACAATATTATTACGGCATCTTCTAGTCCAGAACAACTTAGTTGTAAGTCCACCAACAGAGTAAGACTAAAACACTCATAGCCTCACTGCTCAACGTTTCCAACGCAAAATGAGCTTCGAAAAATACCTCACTACTAAACGTGTCCAACGCATGCGCCTCAAAGTTCTCGTTTAAAGCCTGCGCACTCTCCAACGGATTTTTGATTCGCTGGTACAACTTGAAAAAGTCCGGTCGCACTTCTCGCGGTAATCGATTGAAAATGTGAGCACACGGAGCTGGAAGGGTGAATAGAGCTATGCTTTGTTAGAAGACAGTCAGACTCAGATGAGGGATCTCAAAATCTTCATTGACTTTTTCATCTTGTTGCCATGGGCTATTAAAAGCACGCGGGGATGTACTTATTAATCTAGTCCAAGAATTGCTTTCTTCGACCTCTACTTTTCTCACCTCAGCCTTACCCTTGATCTCGTCTGAAGTGCACTTGGCTGCTGACCAGGTCAGCTTGTCCCTTTCGCAACAGCTGATGCTGGAAAGGCAGTTGCGAAGCTGATAATCCAAAAAAATCTTCACGGATATTAGACAGTTTTAATGATGGTGTACTTAAGTGGGCATTCCTTGTCCATCCACAATAGGATTCTAAAAAAGCCACACAATTTCTAAAGCCACGCAATTTCTAAAATCACACTGAGACTCTTCCTACTTGTAGCTAGCCATTGCTACAAAAATACAGGAACAAATTGTGGTCCAAGAAGATGCCTCTTTCATCCTTGTAGCCATCGCGATGCCTTTCTCCACCTTGTAGCCATCAAGATGCCTTTTTCATCCTTGTAGCAGTCAAGATGCCTTTTTCATCCTTGTAGCAGTCAAGATGCCTTTCTCCACCTTGTAGCCATCAAGATGCCTTTTTCATCCTTGTAGCAGTCAAGATGCCTTTGTCATCCTTGTAGCAGTCTTGTAGCCATAACACTATCGTCATCCGAGTCGTTGCTTGCTGGTGAGTTGTGACGATCTTCGTTGTGATCTCCTTTCCTATGCTCTCCTCTTGCCTCACCGCCTCCATAAGATGCCTGATGTGATTGGCTTGTAACAGTTAACTGTGGCTGGACATCCAGGACGTTGTCTCCCAGTGGGTTAGAAGAGACTCCTTCTAGTCGCATACAATGTCTAGAGATATCTAAATGCTTGAGCTTCCACTAGGTCACCTTGCGCAGCAACTACACCTAAAAGGACAACTTTTAGTATATCTCAAAGACATTCCACGTCCTACTTTTGATATCAGTCTTCCCAGACACGCTGAGAGTATCAGATGAAAATGTTCATGCATCATAGAGAGGTCAACGTCAACTGTATCTAGTATCGCTTTGATTCTTAATGGATTGCAACCCTGAGGTGGTTCCTTGCAAATTGAACCCCACTTCTCCCCTACTGCGTGGATTCTTCTTCGCCTTCGGGGATGGGTAAAACACCACACGCGACGGACCCAAAACACCCACAACGTGCTCATCTCTCGTGTTATCTCCGGTTTGTTGGTGGAGGTAGTTATTGTGGAGGTAGTTATTGCCAAGTTTAGAGCTACCCTAATGGTTGCAAAATCCATCTGCCAGTATAGGCATACTCTCTCACCTCTACTCTGTCTTGTACGAAGGATGCCAACGACCGTGCCCAATTTCACGAGTGGAAAGAGATACAATTAGACTTATGGATTGCGCCTGCCACGACCTAACAAAGATGCCATTATTCTTCCTGCGTGAAAATGAAGAGGTCCTAGCAGGTGGACAGGCCACAAGAAGATTAGACTACAAGAATAACGATAACACCGACCACACGCTGCCTTAACATGTTGTTTTGCCACCCACCTATCTGCGTGATCGCATAGGTTGTGCTCACGGTCGATGCCTATGTATCCCGTGCGTGTATTGGTCACCAGCTTATGCCGTTGTGACCGGTCTACTCTTCATTAGAAGCAAATGATCCTACTTCTAGCCAATTTCAGGCCTAGTTTTTCGAGTTTGAGTCTCAATCTTGCGTTATATCCAAGAAATTCTGATTATATTCAGTCTTAATTCATTTGAAATCCAACGAAGAGATAAGCAACACAATCTTAATGAGTTCAAAAAAGTCATCTCAAAGTCATATCATTGTGTTAAGATACGAGTGTTACGCACTTCAATTGCAAAACATTAGTGCTATGATGCTACTATTTGTCAGAATTGAGTCTACTAGTTCAAGTTTCTTAGGATTTCAAACCTAAAATTTGAGTTTGAGAGTCCTAAATCCAAGAAATTCTGATTTTATCTTGTTTTGATTCAATTTAAATGCATACCAACGCCTTTTCCACGCTTGTCCTGCTAGCAGTTAGTCCCTATTGAATACAACAATCACTTTAAACTTCATGACTCAACTATCACCACTGGCATACTGGCGCAGTATGCTGACAGACTAAGCACCCTACTGATCAGCATAGCCCACGACAAACAATCACTACCGTGTCGAAGTCCACTCATGTTCAAATTCCATAACCATGCGAAGCCGTTTTTTTCAGCGAGCTACCTCCCGAGCTTCTCAGCAGAGTCGGCAGCGCCCGACCATCATCGGACCGGGCTATCGAGGGCATTTTCAGGACAAGAAGGTCGGCTGTGACGACCACAGGACTTCGAAGGTTTGTATTGATTCTCTTGAATCAGGATGATCTCACCTAGAAAGAGTTCCACACATAGTGCCAAGTCAAAAACGTTCTGCACCACACTGGAAGATGCGACGCCTCCTGGGCTGTATTGAGACAAAAGCGCCTTGTAGAGGCCGTGGTACAGAGAAATCAATGTCGAGTAGATTGCTTCCACGTGCGTCACTCACCAAAAAAAAATCGCATCATCTTAGCTTCATCCTACGCTTCTGGGACGTGAGTCCATACCTTGTAGACGCATCGCGGAGGAATGCAGCCAGGCTGATAGCGTAGTTCTTTTGTCCATAGAAGTGGTTTCATCCACAAATACCAGTAAGTTTTCACAGAACGCATCAAAACGAATTCCTACATTGCTTTTGCCCTACTGTCCACGAGCCCACCAACACTTGTTTATTAGAATCGAACCAGAAACACAAAAGCACCCCCCAATGCTACAGATATTGATATTACTCGGAAATAACGAGCTTCATTATCACTTGGCGAAACTCTATCTAATAATCAATCTTGGAATATACTATTGAGGAAATATCAACTAGCAAAAAAAACAGAAACCGAAACAACGACATGGATGTCGCCATAATTGATAAAGGTAACCCGGCTAGCTGAGAAACTGAAACACTCGCATGTATTTCGACAGAAATCATTCCAATAGTAACCATTCTTTCCACATTTGATGTACTTAACAACTTCGAAACTAAATACTACCTATCCTACGAGAAATAGTCGCAAATCTAAATACAATGGATTCTGTCTTAGTCCCAAAAAAAGTGAGTGTGTGTGTTTAAGCTCAATCGACGTGTAGATATTAAACGCTCAACCTTTCAAAGTGAACTGCTCTTGGTTGTATACTCTGTTTCTGCCAGCATCTCTTGACTACTCGAAAATCTTCATCAGACAGAAAAGCCTCTCAGTTCGACTGTGCCTCGTCGCCCATACTGCTTTACTAGTTCCAGTAGAGCCCTATCTAGACGGTGAAATCAGACGAGCCTAGGACTTTCTAAGATCAGTATTTCTATGGAGTGAAACTGTAGTGAGGACTCTCGAATTCTACTAGTGATCAACTCGGTGGAATGAATCCTCGAAGCTTTTTCCTTCTTGCGAGCTTCCCACCGTATTCGTAGGGCCTACGTCGGCTTTCCCAGGACACTGTTGTCGCGAAGTCTCGTAGAATTGTTTCTGCATTAGAGCTCAGGACGGTCAGCTACCTCGTACGGTCAACGTCAACGTTATCTTCATCTTAGCATAATTCCCCTAGGCAGGAAGTCTGCGAAAAAGCCTTGTGGTCTTCTCAGCATAATTTTCTTGGTAACTAAGAAGTCTGACGAAATTGAAAAGTCTTGTACTTATTCTGCTTGAAGGGATAAGTCTACGAGTAGAGGGAAAACTAACCGGTTGTACTTATAAGTGAATCATCGGATTCGCCATAACAGAGTACTCCGGAAACTTCTCCGTTGCTCGCTTGCAGCGATACTGGATCAGCAGACCGGTGTAGGGTCTCAAGCCCAAATTAATCAATTGATTCCGCATGAACTGCGCAACCAGAATCAAAAACGAACACTCACCTGGGTTGTACTTGGAAGGGTGATTTGTTAATGGAAACTTGGAAGGGTGATGTTTTTTGTTGTACTTGGAAGGATGGTTTGATGTAGCTGGGATGGTTTGTCGTAGCAAAAAGGCAGCAGGAGGATGTAGAGGAAGGATGACTTGTTGTACTCGCCAATGTTTAATAATATTGCATTGTTTAATATTGCTACCAATCAGGGGTTCCATCCATTGCCACGAAAATGAGCCGACTTCCAGCCATGTCTCCAAATCTTTGGACTCCGGGACTTCTGCTGTAACCCAAACATCGTTAAACCATAGTACTGTGCCCTTGTGGAAAAGGAGATTAGAGCTTCTAAGGTCAGTTGATGGCAGTGGTCTGCTCATAAGGTAGTTTGTCATGCTCATGTCGTGTGGCTGTCAAATATACCCAAGAAGAACTGGTGCCAAGAGCAATTCCTTCGACTTCGACAACGAGCTTTGATCTCGTCAGCATCCGTGACTAAATTCAAATCCACACAAGCTATGACTCGACACCATAATGAGTGGTATCGTTGCTGCACCAAACACTGCTGCGGTAAACAAGCCTCCCTTATACGGCAGTAACCCCATCTGCCTATAGACTGGTGATTGGCCTCCAATAACATGCTGCTGAATCTCGAGTAATATAGGCACGGCAGCTCTATATTCCACCTCATTCACGGCCATTATCTCCCGAATCAGTCGCTCTTCATTTGCGTCATGCGAACCCTGAGGAATTTTGTTGGAGGAGAGTTTGATACCAGACACGGACGTTTGATTTTGGTAGTAACTTACTAAGTAGAATAAAGTACTTGTTGCAATGGGGGATGACTCAGAAGTCGACAAGTAGTTAGTAAGCTCTGCTTCCAAAAGAAGCAATCACTCACGTACATTGGGTCCACAATGCACCCACAGCATTTCATTGTCTAGCTCGTGCCAGTCTCGGGGCATAGCCATCGCTTCTTCCTGCGTTGGAAAGCGGCTTGAACGTCCTACACCAGCCTTTGAGAAGATAGTCGTCTCACGTCGTGGAAAATTTTCGGGAGTGGATGTTAGACGAGACGGAAGTGAGACTCGATCTGAAATTAATAGAAGTACTGAAGTACTATCTCTGAAATTAACATGATCATAAGTAGACAGGAGGCCACTGCCCAGCGGTATTGGAAGTAGCTCCGGTAAATCCGGACGAATTAGAGGGCAGAAGTAAAGATGCTCATAAACACCTTACCAAAAGATGAATCTTGAACCTCCATGCGTAAAAGTTTTGGCGCGATAGTTTCAAGATCACAACATAGGAGTTCCTGCAGCGCCACTGCTAGATGACGCTGAGCTACCGGTTGAAGAAGCAGGTGGGCTTGGGAACGTTGGTGGCTTGGGTGGCGGCTTCTTATCTTGTCCTGAGGTCGAGCCAGGCGACGTCGAAAAAATACGTATTTGATATAGCGGTGGTATCTCTAAAAAACTGTTGAGACGCGGAAGTTGCTGTCCTATAATTGATCTGTACTTCAATGATGTGTTCGATGTCCTCGTGCTCGGCGTCGAGGTCAATCTCTCTCCTGCTCTGCAGTTTCCTGTCGCTGCAACTAACGCTGCGGGTGGTGCGACTAGGCAGCGAAGTCCTCTATATGTACTTCCACATGAAGATGATGAAGACGATCCTTCTCCTGTTAAGTGTTGGCTTCGTCGAAAGTGAAGATTTCCATCCTTTGCTCTGCCTGTCAATGTCCTCTTATTTGGCAGGACTGCTGCAACTGACGATGCTGGTGGTACGACTTGGCAGCGGACTCCTCGATGTGTACTCCGAGATGATGACGAAAATGATCCTCGTCCTATTATCGATTTTGTAGTTCTCCTCTTTGCCAGGAATGTCGGTTTTGGGCCTTTGTCCAAACCAATACTAGCAGTGCGACTCCCACTCCTATTATGTTCTCCGATCAGTGGCAGTCTGCTTCCATTCGTCCGCTGCCTGCTACCAATGATCGTGCCCAGCGCGGGCCGTTGCGATCCTTGTCGTAGCATGATGTTGGGCCGAGGGAGGCGAAGTTTGCTCTGCATATGGATCACAGAAAATCACAAAAAAGTGGTCTTTTGCTTAGTTATGATTTGCACACAACTTTTTAGACAAGAATCGTTGTGGTGGTGATCGTTGATTTAAGGGTGTTACCACGTCACCTCTCATTCGTGGTTTTTTAGAAAGTCGTGATTTTCGCTTGACGGAGGGGACGCATGAAAACCGTTTTCGTTCAGAAAAAAAATACTCAGCACGTGCGGGGGCAAATATACTAGCTCGTCTAAACAACCAAGATTTATGCATAGAGAAATTGGACAGATGAACCGAAACGCAGTGACCGCAGCTACACTTATGGCCCTCTCTCTGTCTCTCTCTGGCGTCGTTTGTCCTAGTTGGATGAATTTGCACAGACCAGTACCGACTCTGGAAAGATACACTATGCCTTCGCCGGCATTCACGTTCGCCTCAGCTCACTTATGTCTTCCTCGCTCTATCACTCTTGTTTTCTTGTGACTTTTTTCTATACCTACATGTATTATAAAGTGGCAAACCGATGGCGATGACCTAGATGTTGACAGGCCACGCTTGTCTTGATTGCGAGTGTTAGGCACTGATTGCTGCGCAGAGATGATTGATGCGTAGAGAACAAGTGCAGTTATCCAAGCAGCCTCGCGAATTCGTAGGACCTTATTCACAGTTCGATGTCTTGAATGCCAAAAAAAACTAGCACAGTACAGCATGGACATTAGAAATCAAATTCGGGGTTAGTTTTTCACGGGGTAAAAATCACTTTGTGTAGAGAGGTCAAATTTGGGATTGATGGGTGAAACCTCTTTCATATCTTGTTCATCGTCCTCTATAGCTACGACACGAGGAACAAACCATTGACTAAGGCTTTTCCAAGCGTCGCCACCAGTCAGGCAAAGAACCACCACCCCTGACTTGAAAAGTAAGGTCCTTAGACACAAGAAATGCCAGCGTCTTCTTTCTCAACCTTGATATCGCCTTGACGAACGAAGATACGCAATCTCCTTGAATAACCCTGAGGACACTGCCTTGACAAAAGAAGATACTTACGCAATCTGTCTCCTTGAATAACCCTGATATCGCCTTCACAGGTCGTGCCATCTTGCTTAACCCTGACGTCTCGACAAACGCCAGCTGTTCTTCTCCTCGAACCGGTTGTACAGAGGCTCAATCGTCTCGTACATCTTCCGCTTAGAGATCCTGTTTTCGTCCGCCTTGGAGAACAAGTTCGGCGCCAACTCCGGAAGCCAATGCGGTTCGATCGTGCACACTTCTCTTAGGTATTCCTTGGTGGTTAAAACAAGTTCGTGGTAGACGATCCACTCTGGCGCTTTCTGGTACAGACTACTAGAGGGATGAACATGGACGGTCTGATTGTCGAGCAGAGTCTTGTACCCCTCAGCCTTCGGATCGCGCTTGCAGGCGTGGTTGAAGTATCCAGCGCAGATGGTTTTTCGTAGGCGGTTGTAGTCTGCGCCACAGGACTTGATCTCGAGCTGGTAACGATCTAGAATGCCGATCAGTTGTTTGCGCACCTCTTGAGCTCGCTTGAGTGATCGGACTTGGACGAAGTTCTCGAAACACCAGGGACTAGAGAAGCGGTTCCGCGCCCACGCTTTGTAGACTTCTAGCAACGTGATGTGATCCCCCTCTGCTTGGTGAAACTGCGACTTCTTTTGATCCGCTAACGTTTGCTTCTCGCGTGGCCTGTAGAAGACGTTCTGGACTTCCAACATCGCGAGGATCGTCATGATCTCATCTGCGCAGTCCAAATCGACGCCGACAAGCAGAGTTTTACTCTTCGCCGGTTCTAAGGGGAAGTCTGCCATTTTTCGACCAAGACGGGTGAGCATGCCTTCGTTGTCTAAAGCCCCCAACGTCCACAAAGACTCCAGACTGTTGATCAACGTTTGGATGGGTGGCGGGTCCATGAAATCGAATCCTAATAAATCGTTCACGCCCATCGCTTTGAGCACCAGAACAACGTTGCTCAGATTCGTCCTTTGGATCTCCGGAACGTTCATTGGCGACATCTCGTTCTTATACGCGGCTTCGGTGTACAAACGAAAGCACTTCCCTGGACCCGTTCGTCCTGCACGACCTGCGCGCTGTTTCGCACTGGCTTGGGAAATCGGGACAATTAGAAGACTATCCATTCCACTTTTCGCATTGTAGCACTTCTGTTTCGCCATACCCGGATCGACCACGTAGTAGATCCCATCGATCGTCAGACTCGCTTCGGCAATGTTCGTGGCGATTACAACCTTACGACAGCCAGCAGGCGCCGGTTCGAAAATCATGCTCTGCATCTCAGAGGGTAAAGCGGAGTAAACGGGCAAGATAATTAATGGTGGCGGATTGTTGCTCTCCAATGCCTTCATTCGCTCATGCAGAATCTGAGCCGCAGTGTCGATCTCCTCCTGACCGGTTAGGAAGAGCAAGATGTCTCCAGCTGGTTCTCGCAGATGAATCTCCATGATGCACATCAAGGCTGTGTCCACGTAACTATCTTCACACGGTTCTAGGGAGTAGTTAATCTCCACCGGGTGAGTTCGTCCAGGAATAGTGAAAATCTTAGAGTTGAAGAAGTAGGACGAAAACTTTTCAGCATCGAGGGTTGCGGAGGTTACAATCAACTTGAAGTCAGGTCGTCGCTTGCAGGCTTTTTTCAGCAGGCAGAAAAGCACGTCGGTTGTCATGGTGCGTTCGTGCGCCTCGTCGAGCATGACCATCGAATAGCGTTTCAAATCCGGGTCGACCAGCATCTCACGCATCAACATACCATCCGTCATGTATTTTATGACCGTGTCCCTTGACGTTTGATCTTCGAAACGGATACTGTAACCCACTTCTTGCCCAAGACGGCACCCAAATTCTTCCGCCACGCGCTTCGCCACGCTCATAGCTGCCACTCGTCTTGGCTGAGTACAGCCGATGATCCCCTTCGACGTGAATCCTGCTTCTGCACAGTACTGCGTGATCTGCGTCGTTTTCCCACTCCCTGTCTCGCCAATGACCACTAAAACTTGATTACCAATAATCGCCTCCAGCAACGGCTCCCGCAATTTGAAGATCGGCAAACCCTCTCGTTGCTCTTTAATGCTCTTATTGCTCTTCTGACCTAGGGAGACGCCAGCGTTTTTCTGGTAGAGCTTTTTCCACTCGGGGAGTTCGTAGCCACTGTCGGTTAGACCGCGGATTTGAGCGACTAGAGCACGGCTACCGGGATCAGGCTTAGGATCTTCCCACGGCTTGTTCATGTCCTTAGGAATATTATCCAACGCCTCCTGCTGCATGGCATCACGGGCTTGTCGGGTCTCTTTGATCTGTTTTTTTTAAATAGGTCAAGACACGTCGTCGGAGGTGGAGCAGGCTTTACTGAAGTTGTATATTTTCTAAATACTCAACATTATCGCGACATAGGCGAGTTGTGAAAGTTTGGGAAAACAACAAGTGTAAAGAATAGAGAAGCTAGCGAAACACAACAAAAATAAGCGCATAGATACTTATATCAAGTACCGCTGCCGCCGCATTACTCGCTGCTTGTGCTAAGCTTCCCTCTGGGTTTTTCACTAGCTTAATCGGACTCAGTTGCGCTCCACTCTTCGTCGTTTGGTTCAGCAAAAATGCCGGCTCTTGTTCCTTGACATCCACTTCGTAATCCTCTTCGATCTCCTCATCTACTAGGAAGCCTCCATCCCCTCTAGGATCGTAGTCCATGCGCTCTGTGCGCTTGATCACGCCAGACATGTACAGCTGTTGATTCTCCCATTTTTCATAGTCGTTCATCTTCTTCTTGTTTCGGTCCTTGTACTTGCCACCAAGCGTATCCGGAATGTTCAGATTCACGCCAGTGTGCTCACCATGAGAGCGGTTTTTAGAAGCAGGCTTATTTTGACCTGGACCTCCGCCAGGCCCACCAAAAACACTACCACCACCAGTACCAGTACCGCCTCCAGCGTTTGCTCTGCTGTTTATCGGGAGTCCTGTTTCAGGATCCCTCGGTTTAAGGTCTTCTCCAGAAATTTGGTCTACTTCCAACATCGACAAGGAGATTTTCGACCCCGTCATGCCTACGATCTTCACGAAAATCTCCTGTTTTCTCTTTACCAATTGATCCGGCCTCGATCCGCCGGCCGCGTCTTCCGTTTTGGTCAAATACTGTGCATGACACAAACCCTCTTTACGTCCTTCAGTCGTTTCAATGCTCACAAAAGCACCGTAGTCCATGACTTTTTGGACCTCACCAGCGTAGATGCCCCACTTCTCCAGTTTCCGTCGTTTCATGCGGCGAAGAGCGTCTTGGCGGATTTTTTCCTGTTCTTCAGGAGGCATATTGCGGTAATCACGAGGTGGGGAGCGGGATCGGCTACGTCCACGTCCGCCTTTGCCGCCAAGAGGTATAGCATTGGCGTTGGAACCAGATTTTCCTTTACCTGTGGTGAATATGTGCTTTTTTGGTGTGAGTCGTGAGGATGGGCACACGACTTGATCAGCATGAGAGAGAAAAAGAAAATGTGGTTTTTTGCACAGTCGTGTATATCAGACACCCAAATCACGTTGTGGTTCTTGTGAGTATTGAGCATATAAAAAGTACCTTTATCCCCCTTCTTCGCTCCCTTTTTCCTTTCATGCGCAGTCATCTCGCCTTCCAACAGATCCCACGCTTTTTCACCGACATCGCCTTTGTCGCGCTCTGTTCGACCAACGAAGCCTGCTTCCACGTAGACCTCCGCTTTGTCCTCAGGAGCTACGTCAGGCATTCTGAGACCAACAAATTGCGCTTCTGTCTGATTTCGAGGTGCACGAATCCCAGAGATGCCACCGACACGTTCGTGTGTGGTAGAGCCAGACTTGGCGGAAGAGGAACTGGAAGACGAAGATGCGCCAGTACCGACTACTACATTCTTTCCGCTAGTACCTCCAGGACCACCGCCAGATCCTGTTGATCCTCCACCACCTGATCCACCTACAACTTTCTTCGCAGGGGCCATCTTCAAGATCAGTTCATACAAGTGCGCAGCAAAGGTGTCAGTGGCTTCTGCGCCATTTTCCGCCAACTGTTCTTGGAAGTCATCGACATTAGCAGATTCGTTTTGCGCCAAATCGATGATGAACTCAGCGAGATCTTTGTCGTCGAATCCCCAATGGGACTTGATCTCAGCTGCCACCTTACGGACACAAGCCAAATGCTTAATACGGTCGCCCATTTTCAAATTACAAATCGAAAGAAACAATTCTTAGGTCTACAGAATCGCTAGGGAAACTAAGGTTATCGCTAGGGAAAATTGGGTTTGCGAACGGTGCTACATTTTTCAACACTCACTAGACAAAATGAAACTTAGAAGATCAAGATTTCTTTGATGTAGAGAACTTTTTTAAGGGTCAGGGTAGAAGAAAAGCGTGAGACCAATTCAGGAGCCCTGCGTCATGTAGTTCAGATGGTTTCTACTAGAGTTATGAGGCGAAAGAAAAAAGAGTGGGAAAAGCTGAAAGGAGTCTTTGAGCACGAATCTCATTTATCCACGAGCAACAACATGTCTGTGATCTTTTCTTCTGGCGTATTTTGCATTTGCGATCTCGTATCTGTTTCGAACACAGTTTCATCAAAGGATCGGTTTTCAACATATCGGGTTTGGATTTCGGAATTCAACTTTGTTCACCAGAGGGATCTGTTTTGAATTCGATTTTCGTGGAAAGTTGGATTCCGTAGTGTTACTTATTTCAGCAGATAGATCTTATTTCGACTTCGAGTTTCTATCGAGAACCAAGTAAAGATGAGTCTGAATTTGTCAATTCCTTTCTTCCACCTGGGCTCGTACGAACACACCAAGTCGTGACTTTGCCTCATAGTGAAGCAGTACGAAAGAAACACTTCAATCGAAATACGCTTTTGAATTTGATCGCACCGGCCGGTGATAAGCATGCTTATAATCAAGGCATACTCGGTCCTGTTTACGAATCCATCACAGTACAGGTGCCAGGTCTTGTGGTTGTACAGGTCCTTCTTCTCCTGTCACGCTTCATTAATTCCAAGGTTCTCAGCATCTGCTTTGCAATTTTAGCTACGACTGGAGGACAAACGGCGTTTCCACACTGATGATACCACCTATGTAAATTCCGCTTGTTTTCGATGATAAACGATTCTGGAAAGCCCTGTAGTCTGGCACATTCTCGAAGGGTGAAAAAACGGGGTCTTGTTTGGGGTTCATCACCTGAGGGGTTTGAAGATGTCGCGGCTGGTGTTGCTAGAGGTGATGTCGCTGAAGACGATGTTGCTGACGAGGATGATGTCTGCCCTGCTTGAGTGAGAGATGTTGATACTTGGTCGCGGGTTCGAGTCCCTTTCTCAATCCCAGCAGAAACTCCTTTCCCCTCCTCTTCCACAGGCACGAACTCGCTCTGTACCAAATATCCTGTTCGATACCTCGCTGACAGGGTCCTCGCTAAACCATGGACATCCACACTGCGTCTTTTCACAGAAGTAAGGTAGGATCGATGGGCCTGCACCTTCTCCCATTGGTGTTCGCTTAAGCGATAACGCTCTTGTTCTTCTAAAGAGAGATTATCGAAATCCTCTAGGATGTCGGAGACTGAGAGTTTTTGTTGTGTCTGGCTGTGCTGTTGCTGTTGAGATGAAGAGGTCTTTTCTACTAGGCTGTCGTCGTGTGGCCATAGGAAATCTATCTTCAGGTCTTCTCCACCAGCCGTGGGCGCATCTTCCATCCTATCTCCTTCATTCTCAGCCTCGCCCACCAGCTCTTTATCCTCCACCAAAAACCCTACAATATACAATCGATTTCGATTCTGTGGCAACCCAGCGACTTCTGCTGAATTCAGCACTTTCGCGAAAACCCGATACCCACAAGCTTCCAACTCTTGTTTTACACGGGCAAATGTCTGACCGTCGTCTAATTTCAACAAATTCGGGACGTTTTCTAAGAGGAAAGATCGAGGCTTTTGCTTAGATGATCCAGCTTCTAGAGGTGTTCTCGCTAGAGGTGTTCTTGGAGTACTTGTCGCTGATGTGGAGATGGATAGTTGAGGTGAAGAATCCTTTTCAACATCTGGAAGTAGACTAAAATCTCCATCTCCTTTTGGTGAAGTAGCACTTCTCTTTTCGGCTGCTCCAACGCTATCGCCACATGCCTCACGTGGCCCACCACCTCCACCACGCAACAACCGTATAATTTCGAAAAACAGGCCTCCATTCTTCGGACATCCGAAGCCTTGCGGACTAGTCGTCGACTGTGAAAAGGATTGACAAGGAAAGCCTCCACACAATATGTCACATCGTTCCTCTAAAGGTAGAGACTCAAGTCCATTGATGTCCTCGTTGAAGCCGCCAGGTTGGGGTAAGCCGTGATTTTTCTCGTAGAGCCACCTAGCTTCTGCGTCGCGCTCGCTTGCTAGTAGGCAGCGGCCTTTGAGATTTTCGAAGTGGCCAGATCCAAGACCACAAGCAAAACCACCAACACCAGCAAACAGGTCGACGAAAGTGAAGTCGTTGTCTTGTACTACTTCTGATGGTGCTGGGCTGTCGTCATCCCCCGCCATCTTGATGTCGGTGTTGTCGTTGGAGCTGGCTCCCACGGTGGTCGCTGTAATGTTGTCGTCAGAGATGTCCATCTTTACCTTGTTCATAACTTGCTCATACTATGCATCACCACATGTATTTTATCTATGTCAAGTGTTGCCTGTTTAGAGTACTTCTATCGTCCTGTCGAGGCACAAAAATCCGAAAAAAAAAGCGCTGATGCACCAAATTTGATCTTCAGAAGACACAAAGGGAGAAACTAGGTGTCATAGCACATCTTGGATCTATCTCTGGAGCCATCCGTGCCAGAGCGGGTCATAGCACATCTTGGATCTATCTCTGGAGCCATCCGTGGCAGAACTTCATTCATTCATTTACCTAGCATGAGGTACTGTCTCAGGACTTAATCTGTGATCTGCACTTCATCCCACTAATTCATGATCCTCACAATCTTGTCGAAAGTTTAACAGAAGAGTAAGCGAACACTGCAACAGGGTACTAATTGCTTTAGAGGAACATAACAGGATACATTTTGGAGACGAGGATCAAACTCAAATTTTGTACAAAAACTTGTAGCCCCAAACCCATGGGTGTAAACTCTAGAATTTCTCAAGAAATTTAGTCTTGTTTGCCAGCACGCCGGTGCTACCGCTTTGTTTGTTCTACCTTGAAAAATCAAGTCTTCTTCGAAGTCAACCTACCACTCGACCGTCTGTATTTTTTCCTCTAGGTAGAAACTCCGTTAAATAAAGTCTAAGTAAAGGCCATAGCATCCCATTATAGTAGAGTTGTAGAATTCCATAAACTCTACTACATGCTTCGATCTTCGAAAGTAAAGATGATCACACGAAGAAATAAATTATGCAAATATTTCAATGACTCTGGGGATACCGCTTATACGCGCTTTGCAAGACAACAATTTCAATGAGAGCCACAATACCTGAGTTTCGATCCTTAGGCAAGTTTTTCCTTACCCAACTCAGAAAGTGACAGGGACAAACAACTAAACAACTAGGGGGTGGACAACTAGGGGGTGGAATGGTTGAAGGATAAAAGTTTTTCATTGGTATAAGATGAAAAACGCTTTTGGGAAGTGCATAACACATAATCACTCTTGTAATGCATAGATAGATTTTCTACAGGTGAAGAGACACGTAGCCATCCCAACCTCCTCACCGCTACCAGCAGCCTCAGCTGCCTCTGAAAGTGCGAAGCCGCTCGTTGTTTCTCGGCTCGCGGGAACGCTCAAGGCTTTGAATACATGCAGTGAGTTGATGCAGACGGTAGTCGTTGAGTCTTACTGATAGCTTTCGAACTTCACTGCTTTCTGTAGGCAGCTTTCCTTTCGCATCTTTCTCCGAATGATCACGAAATAGGATGTTGCTGCTGTAGTTTGCTCGTGGATTCATACTCTTCTTGGAAGTTTTTTTTGTTGAAGCTGACTCTGTAGAAACGTTTCCCGGCTTGTTCCCTTGCTGTAAAGATTCGTCCTCATCTTCCTCCGACGAGCTGAGCTCATCGAGAATCATCTCGAGCTTTGACTTCTCGACTTTCTCCAATGTGCCCTTCCACCGCATAATTTCTCCACTGATGCGACTTGCAGATGTCGCAGCATGACAAAAAGGAACGCGAATCGTGTCATGCCAGTTGCCTGCGCACTCCGCGTAACGGCCAACTGCTGCTTTCGGCTTATAGATGTTATCATCCGCTAGAATCTTGTTCAAATATTCCTCGTTTGGGATGCCACCCTCGGACTCGCATACGGCGCTCGCGTGACGGACATAGACGTCTTCCCGCAAGGACTCGAACCACTTATGACACGACCGATCTAGCGGCAATTGGGATACCAGCTCTGTACGCATCGAAGCGGCACGTGCTGCATCGACGTAGAGACGCGGAAACAGATACCTCACTGCTACACGATGAGTCTCTGTCGTCTTTACTTGATCCAACGTAGGAAAAGCTGCGCCAATTTGCATCACATAATCCGAATTAGGCCGATTCGGAAACCACGAAGTCACTTCATTAAAGACCGCAGTAGCAACAGGTCCGGGAACCATCGTCGACGACGGCGACCCTTCAGATTTGTCCGCCAGTGAAGACGAAGATGACGCCTTACTCCCGGTTGTGCATCATTAGAGCTACTATTTTACATGAGTTACATTTTCCATACCGTCAGATCTTATTGGATCAGATTCATAACCATCTATATCGCTGGTTCGACATACGCAGAGCTAGTAGCCAATGAACTACGATGAACTGAATGAAGGCTCTATCTTGAAAAATGGAGTTATCAACAGAGTCTGGCCATAAGAATTATTCGAATTCCGCACCCGTTCACTGACCATGAATTTGGTGTACTTCTTGTTTCGCCGTGCGAACCTTTCTTCACTTGTCTCGTTCTCCCGAAAGATAAATGGTAGCCGGAGCTCGAAAATGAAATCGAAGAAAAGTCGGAAAATCGGTGTAGGATTTTCGTAGATCACAGGTGGCATTTTCTGTTTCCACAATCGATGAAGCGCACGACCAAATCGACCCATTTCCTCCGTCTCCACATAGATTGCACGACTCCGGCTGAGCTCTTTTTCAGGAGAAGTCTCACTCGAAAAGCTGGCAGCATCCCGAATTTTCGACAAGACTTTCTTGGCCATATTTTCTTGACCGCTAGCACTAGAAGACGGATTCTTGTCAGCTTCACAGCCTCCTAGGAGTAAAAAGAAAGTTGTTAACGGAATCCAGCTACCATGAGAGATTTCCCATTTCTCTATACGCGTTCGCCTGTCTTCTTCCTCTTCATCAGAATCATTTGCACCATCACTGGTTATAGCTTTCGTATCTGTTACAGCCTTCGCTGACGGTGACGCCCGAGCATTTAGATGTTTAGGCTCCTCTTTCTCTGGAAAAATGCGTGGCTTATCCTCCGGAGGGTCAGTCTCCTCCCATTTTAGCGCTGTACCACGAGGAACCACGTTCATAACCCACCATCGGCTGTCTCGATATATCCGTCTCATTGCTGTAAGCGTCTTCTCATCGAGCCAATCTTCTAAAGGTATGAGAAAGACATTTTTGGTCTCGCCGTTTTCTAGCACCGTGACGTCGCTAGTGCGGTTGACGTGGCGATGCCATGAACGGATCGCCGCCACCACTTCAGGTCTATCTGGTTCTGTTGTAACTTCATCACTATACTCTTTCTTCTTCTTCTCACTTGCATGATCTTTGTCCTTCACACCAGTTCTCTTTGGCGCAGCTTTCTTCTCGCTTGAAGCTAAAGCAGTCTCTTGTTTCTCCGAATCGCAACAGGAAATAGTCCCCTCCAGAGTCCCCTTAGTGACCAGTGTGGCTTTGCCAGTTGAGCCAGCTGTCTGCGTAGTTGTTCCTTCTGCTAGGCCATCCTGCGAGGTACACTGCTCGATCGGGTTGTCCTTAAGGCAGGCATCTTTCGGCAAAGAGGATGCAACAACAACGTTCGGCATTTTTCCAACTAGTACTTAATCCACACTCCTACTTATACAGTTCTGCTCCCGACGATGATAGGATAGAAGCAATGGCTAGCACACGATTGGTCACATGATAAAAGTAGAAGGGTAGAAGAAGTTTTCAAATACAACTACTGGGAACTACTAATGGGTCAACAGAGGCCGGAAAAAGTAGTAAAACAGCGACTTATAATACTTAACCATTCCATTGAAAAAGTACTTAAAACAGCGACTTATACTTAACCATTCCATTCCATGAAGTCTATCATTGGCTAGCATACCAACCCCCAGACTATACGATGACACCCTAATGTCAAGATCCTGCATGAAATCAAGGAAGAATCATTTTCGACCGGAGACAGTGCTCACCCGACATTTTTGGAAGACGTTCGTCGCAAGACAAACACAGAGCTGTTGCAGATGAAAAAAATACCAGAGAGACACGCCTTGGAGACACAAAAGTATGGCGTCAAAACACAACAGGATGCATCAAGCTTCATGGTCGACTTCTCACACGATTTGCGATTACTTCTGCATTGATGGCGTTGATTTCAGCATCTGTATTACTTGCAATGTCAACCTCGGACGAAGGAAAAGGAATGATTTGCATGTTGGTATAGATGTGCTGTTCATTTAATGCGTTCACGATCGCTGCTTTACAGCCTTTTTGATGCCTGTGCATTTGCCTCCACGAAGACGATACCAGCATAGTAATTACATAAAAATACTTCCTTAACCTTACCATAGCTGGAGTAGGAGTACCGAACAAGTACTTTCTTGCTATTAATGATTGGAAAAATCTGTATGTTATCCTTCTTTGAAACCTCATAATTGCAAAAGATAGCGCGCATGGCAATCATTTACCACCGCTTTTCTAGTATGACACTAAATAGATTGGAGAAAAAGAACAAGTGATCCCTATTTTGTACAGGGACCTTAATACCTGAGTTAAAAATCTTGGAATTTATTGTTGGCCTTGGAGTTGTGTTGTCAAGTGAATAAATTTTAATCTGTTGGGTTGTTCTTGTAATTAAAATCAAGCAATAAATCTTGAGTTTTATCTGTTAAAAAATCGAGAGGATAATACTATCGACTAGTCGTCTTCCAGCCACGAGAGAAAGTGCGGCGAGACAACCACCTAGTACTATTTACAACCAATACTAGAGACGAGATCATACTACACCCCAGTAGTTGTAGAATCATCTCCACTGGCATCTCTTCATCTTTTTTCTGTACCATACCGCGTGATCCTCATCTCTGATCGTGTTTAGACGACGTCGCCAGCTTTCTCCAACAGCGCCTTCGCCTTGGGGTCGGAATTCTTAGAGAAGCAGATGTGCGCAAGTGATTTCATGTTTGGAAGATAGCGGTCGTATGAGAATACCTAGTTCATCGACAAGACCTCACATTGTTACGATAAGGATAACATCATTCAAAAATTATGTCCTCCTTAGAACGAGAATAGACTCAACACCACGACCACAATGTTTGGAAAATAAATACGATCATCTTCATTCGATCAAATTTATCCGAACCCATGATCCTTAATTTTCTTTCCTTCTTCCGCTTTCCCTTTGCCAGAAGCCTTGGCGTTGGCGATGATGTTTTTGATATCGTATTTTTCGTGGAGTTCCTCCAACGCCAATCGCTCAGCTTCCTCACGCTTCTTCTCCAGTTCACTCTTGAGCTTGTCGTATTCCTCGTGGAAGCTTGCTGGGATGGCCTCGAAGCGGTGGTAGTCGTCGTCGTGCTCGCTGTGTGTTTGATTGGTTGTTTTTTCAGTTTCTCTATGGAATTGGTTGTTTTTTCAGTTTCTCTATGGAAATAAGGAAGAGGGATACACTCTTGATGATGACATATTGTTCTTACCACCGGTAATAAAACTACTTAAGAAAAATATTAACGACTATACTCCGCCAAAGGAAAGTCATCATCTTAATGGTATTATTTAAGCTCATTTGTGGCCAAATAGACGAGACTAAGTACATTCCCAGAATTTCATCGTAGGCCTTCTGCGCTTCTTCGCGGGCATCATCGTGCTCCTCTTGCAGTCTCTTATATGTCGGGATAATGTAAAACTTCCATGCAGGGGCGACTATGATGACCTAGGAAACGTTGTCGTGGGCGGAGACGAAAGGTTTCTTGTGTGTTAGAGCAAAGGTGGGAGACGAAAGGTTTCTCGTGTGTTAGAAGTTCAGTTGTAAAAGCAAATAATTGTGAGTTTGTATTTTTGAGTGTGTTGCGATATTGACTTCACTGTTCTGTAAGAAAACGTGTTCTAACTAAAGTCTGGTGACACAGCAATACTAGTACGATCTGAAAATCTGTGTCCCTGTACGACTGAGTCAAATTATTACCAGAGCAAAAGTGAGCACGAATTCCGCGATCTTGTGGCTGCCCAAGATTTCGACCTTATCGGCCAATGCCTCAACACCCACATCGAACGACTGTTCCCATCCGAAACCTACAAGGATGGCCAACGCCAAAATCACTTGCCGAAGCGCCTTATCCACACTATCGCTTGTGAAATCACCATCAGAAAGCTGATCCTGGGTTAGAGGGAGGAGGATGATAAGTGTACAGGTCAGTGATAAGTGCAATACATAACACAATGAAATTAATCTCGCACAGAATTCAGTGCAGACTGCCGCGCGGGTCAGTAGTTCTTTGTCTTCTAGATCAAGAAGACAGTCATGAGTCGGACTAATATCTACACCCATGCATAAGAGAAGTGTGATCAAGAAGAAGGCGACGCAGGAACTAGCGAGGGCTACGCCGACTTTGAAAACAACCGGGTCCACCGCAAGGCCTACAGCGAACGCGCACCATCTGAAGGTTTTATGTAATTAGGAACATATCGATTTGGCCGAGCAAAAAGATCGAGAGAACAAACGATGCTGAAGACCACAAGGTGCGTGCAAAGGGAGAATCGCATGCACTTGTCATGATTAGAGGTGACATAATTACATTCTTCAGAACATCGCTGGCCTCTCTTCTACTAGGAAAAGAGTCAGGGATGGTTATGAGGAATGCAATTCCGAAACCCTTAATATCACTTATGCATAGTTACCAAAGGTCACAACAAAAACAATATCATTTGGTTTATCTATACCAAAAGAGCATCAGCGTGCTCCAGGAGACAATATCATTTGGTTTATCTATACCGGAAGAGCATCAGCGTGCTCCAGGAGAAGGACATGCAGGACCAGTTGTTCAACACGCCAAGCAAGCGTTCCTCCAAGGTTTCTTCCTCCGGTTGCAGAATCGACGTCAACCGTGTCACAGCAGCGCTGCAGGCCATAAAAGCGACGCACCACACGGCCAGCTCGACGTACTGCGTTGAGGTCAAGGCTGCGTAGTCGGTGATCTCCCCTTCAGCGGAAGGAATGTAGCCAACCACGAAATAAGTCGCCGACTGCGCGGTAAGAAAAGAAAGGCAAAGACCTGTGCGTGGGAGGGATCGGGGAGAGAACCTATTGACAGGTGGGTGCGGTATAGGTAATATGATAGAAGCAGAGTATCTTTTAACACTCACTTTATGGTTTGGCTTTTGGTTTTTGCCTTAGAAAAGGTATATGCATGTTGCAATCATATTCGTGCGGAAAAATTCTTTCTATCGGCCTGAAGGTTAAACTGCGTAGTGTTAATGAAGGTTGTAGACTATGATGTGTTGAGGTTAAACTAGTGCGTAGTATTCCTAGTGTGTTGAGGTTAAACTACTGCGTAGTATTCTTAGTGTAGTGTTGAGGTTAAACTAGTGCGTAGTATTCTTAGTATTTCCTCGTCCACAAAGAGTAAGTAAATGTATCTATAACATGAATCTCGCGAAACCTATCTAAGAAAAGGAATGAACCAAACAAAAATGGATCATGTATTCTGGATCCGAAGTAGCTCCAGCAAGCCATTTACAGTTGTAGCACTATAATCAATCTAATATACGCTAGCCCCATACACTGTCTTCTAAGTCGTACAGAAGATACCAGCCACATCATTTTCGCACTCCTCAGCTTCCGCGTCCCACATGTATTCTCTATCATCCTTATGCCCATCCATCAACGCCAATCGTTCTCTGTACGTGTCGAGAAGTTGGAACATGCCTACTACCACAAAAAAAGCCAACGGAACGGCTAGCAGGGAATGCCAAGAAGACTGACTCCAAATTAGAGGTGGGGTGGAGGGAATTCTTCATCCTGTTGAGACAGAGAGGTGGAGAATAATAATAATAATCTACCCAGTCTCGGGGTACGTACAGTTGTGGGGAAAGGGGGAATTGTCCGGTTGCAGGGAGGTGGGGGTGCCGTTGTTCATTCTTTCACTTTCCATTTGCATGTATTTATCTTTCTCTGAGCTACTGAGACACTTCCGAATGAGACACTTCGTGGTCCTCACTTTCTCTTGAGAGACCCTCCATCAACGGATGATTGATGTCATACGAAAAAATCTATCATTTGGGGAAGAAGTCGTAAGAAAAAGTGCAACTGCTGAACGTCCGAGAACGAATTGATGGCTGCGAAGCCGTTGATGTGAGCAATCAGTGTTCCCCAGAACATCACTAGCAGCTCAATGTCCTCCTTCTCCTCCTCCGTAATCCAAATCTCCTCCAAGTCCGAAGGCTCGTCTTCGTTGGAGTCTGTTTGTTAGTCAACAGGGTTTAAGATTTGAAGAGGCATGATCTCGTTCTTACCAGTATTACTTATAGCAAGAACATCAACATGAGCATCTTGGTCTTGGATATAATAGAAGCAAAGTACTATTCTTGATACTAAGCGCTCCTGTGCTTTTTCCTAACGCGAATTGCAGGATCCAGAACCAAGCGAACTGCTGGGCGAAATCCAAAACCACATGTGCGGCTCCTCCCTTCTTGTCCTCAGCAATCAAGGAATTTACGAGAGTGTTGTCGAGACCCTGTATTGGTCAAGTGATGTTTGCTTCACATTGAATCCACAATGTATTGGTCAAGTGATGTATGGGTGGGCAAGAGAGAATGTCAAGAAGGATGTGTTCATTCATGAACTGCCATCATCGGCCGTTTGCTTCACATTGAATCTTGAATCCACAAAGTTCTAGGAAAGGTCACAAATCCAACTTTCCAACTGGACTATACCCTTTCGCTACCCACCCATCCAAAAACAAGTGTAACAAAGAAAGGACTGTAAGTCCAAGTACCTGAAAAGTCAGCACTGCGATAAAGATCGATACGGTTGCTGAGATAACTTGCCACGAGTATCGTTTCATATCCTCGTCAGGGTGATTGACGAGGTAGAACATCGCCATCATGAAGGCAAATGATCCTAACAACATCGCAGAAACCGCCAATGACACCAAGGAAAACTCCTTTTCTTCGAGGATCTTTTGAGTGGGTGGTGGTTGTGTTGGACATCACGATATTTTTTGATGCTGAAAAAGTGAGGCAAATACCGTTGACAGGATTTTTTTTTCTACTGAAAAGCAACTCTGCCCAAGAAACCAGCTTTCATTTCCTAAATTTTGAAAACCAACAAGTCGAATTTTCACCAAATCTTAGAACAGATGCAAAAAGCAGTACCTGTGCGTCTTTTAGCAATCCGTCGGAAACTGGAGTAGCAGGCACTACCTCCGTCTCAAATTCTGCGTTTACTAGGGTGTGGAAGGAGCCGAATACCACAACCATGGATGCAAGTTGCACGAAATTTAGAAAAGGATGTTGCTCAGCATGTGAGATATCAGCGCCCTCAGACTCAGCGGTTCTTTTGAATAATCGATAATCGAAAATCGAAATTCCCTTCGAAATCGACGATGAAGTTGTCCCAGTAAGTAGTTCTAGTTTCTTTCAACTATTAAAAAAGTCCTCCTGCCTTAAAAACAAAGCCAGCCATGAGGTCAGCGGCTTTTTGCACTTGCGAGTCCACTGCACAATCTCTCCTGCTTTTTTCTTGGTCGCCTCTCGCGCAAGGAATGAAGAGAGCCAATGTCAGTTTGGATACTGAGGAAAGGATGCTTGAGCTGTCAAGGCAAAGGATGCAATGTAATACGCACTCTGAACAAGTTGTGGCTAGGCCTATATCTAATTTAGGATAGAACATGATTCAGGAGAAGGTGACAGTGTCCAATGGGGTGTCTGTGATACGATTGCCATACTTTCTCCACCATTTTTCTCGCTGTCCTTCGTTTCTTTGTCGCGTATCTCTGCATGGTCAAAAAAGCTCCTAACAGGCGCGGGCAGTGTCGCTGCGCGCCTCGGTACACGCGAAGGGTTGTATTAGAGCGTATTTGAGACGAGCTTGTTGGAACATCAGGGGAAACAAGGTACTGTTCCTTCATTCTCTACGAACGAGAGCGAACCATGTAAGGTGGACAAGAAAAGTCAGAAATTCGTTCATTCACTCACGCGGCCACCAATACGATTTTTTTTTTTTGGTGCCTGGGTCTACAATTTCCCGCTATAGTTCCACGCAATTACCCCGCCGGAAGCCTGAAGCACAACGGCCAAACGCTACGACTACGCAAACGGCTGATAGCAGCATTTTTTCTTGCAATGGAGTATAAGTAATCGAACAAGAAAACATAACTGTCCGGCTCCCCTTGTAGAGAACTTTCTTCTCGTCCTCCTCTGGGACAGCAGCGGACTCATCTGCTTCCTGCTCTTGGGCAGACGACGCTGCAGCGCTTTCAGGGATTTGTTCATTTTTTGCAAGCTGCGATTCAGCCTCCTGTCGCTTGGAGGACGGCTTGGCCGCTCGCGGCCCACGTCGCCGCACACCTGCTTGTACCATTTTGAGATGCTCTGCTGTGACCGTTGTAGATCAACAAGATGAAAAAGTATACCTCAGAAATTATAGACTCAATCCACGTATGCGATCCTAGCAATATCAGATATTCGTTCGTTAGGTGAAAAGCAGTTCAAGGTGGTTGTGTATGAAACAAGGGTGCTAGCAATAGCAGTAGCAAGTTCTCGCATTTATTGCGACGACTACCCAATGCCGCGGCGCGTCGTTTATCTGACTCTCATCTTCATCACAACAGTCTTTATTTTGAGTTTGTAAGCCCCCTCCCTGTTTCAGTTATTTGACGTCTTTATGCTGTTCCACCGCTCTCTGCCGGCCTCACTTTTGTTGTTGCTTTGTCGTGTTGCTTTCTGTGAGGCGTGGCAGTCTATCTATTCATCCTTTTCAACTTGCACTAAGGCTTGCAACAAGTTGAAAAGGATGAATAGATAGACTAAGTAATAAGAAACGGAGGTGCGCAGGGAACAATTTAGGGCACTCTACCGATCTACCACAATGCGGCAACACCGACGATAACTTTCTGCTTTCAGATGGAAGAGAGTCGTCTTTGACAAGTTTTTGAGAGACATCAACAACTCGTTCATCCGCCAGATTCAGGGGTTCCCCGCCGCCGCTCCATTTTTTTTGTATCCCAAGACCGCCGAAAGGGTGACCCCAGTTTTTTCCAGTTCGCAAACCGGCGGACACGATCTATGTAACACTTTGGTTTTCTCAGTCAAATGACGATTTTGAACCACGCTACAGAACATAGTCCTTGACTCTCTTACCGATCTTGTCTAGTCTAACGTTGTTGTTGTTGTTTACCAAGCCAACGATAGAGAACATCAAAGGTGGCCTTATTGAAACAATTCGAAGTCGTCGATCAAACCCTCGTAGTAAATGGAGAGCTACTCAATAATACATCCTGCGCTCTTTCCATTGCAACTTATACTGCTGTATGTTTTTTATCGGTCTTCAGATATTATCAAGTGATCGATTTAAATCCTCGCTTTTCTAAGCAACAGACGCTGTAATAGGTCTGAAGAGCAAGCATAATTGCATGAGTATCAATATAGAAGTTGCTTCGTAGTCTCCGTAAGAGAAAACAGCGAAGGAATGAATCATCATCTTAGAATTCTTGTTAAATGTTATTCTTGATTTAGGTCAATATCAAATCACCGCTCCTAGTCCCTCTGCATGCTTCGCACTTCCGCAAGAGCGGAGACGAGAAAGCATTCGCGCGAGTTGTGTTTCTGGCCTGAATGATATACCGACATCAACAGATGTCAATTGTTTTGAAAAGATTGTAATGTAATGCGCCAAATGACGGAGTTACCATTCAACTTCAGCATAGGGCAAGCCACGGCGCAGCCCCTTTGTATCGTGGGCTCTTCTGCCGTGTTGCAGCTGTGTATCAGAGGCAATATTCCTTGACTGAGTACGTTTTATGCTAAAAACTACGCCCGTCAACGTTGTATTTTGTCTTAGTGGATGTGCAATAAATTCCAAAAATCTCCCGCATCTTAAGTATGAGTGGTGAGTTCAATTTCATTCATCTTATCTACTTTCATAGTAAGCATCGTTCGGTTTAGTATCAGCCCAACTTCATTCATCTTATCTACTTTCATAGTAAGCATCGTTCGGTTTAGTATCAGCCCAACATCATATAGTATAATGAATCATTCGTTCCATACTGCCAGGAGCAAAAAAGCGTGGTCCGACTGTGGGTGTAGCATTAGTTCTTCTCGTTCCTCCTTGAAGACTATCTCCTCTCTGACTGATGAATAGTTTGCTTCCTCCAGTTTCGTTTGCCATCTTAATTTCCTGCGCAGCCCCTTGCATCCCCTTGCATCCGCCATAGAGAGGATGACGATGATGATGATATGCCCAGAATAAATATACACTTCTAAAGGATCGTAGGATCATTGAGTGCCCAGACCATAAAGTGGGAAAGAGTGTCTCGGGAAAAGACAGGATACCACAAGGCTCGTCAAGTCATATCATAGTTAGGCACTTTATAATCATCTCTTTCTCTCTGTATCGCGAGCGCGAGTTTGAAGAAGAATCTGCCCGCATATTTGAGGAAGGGAAGAAGACTGCAAGGTTTACTAAATCTCTAACAACATCAAGGTTTATTTCTCTATCTCTATCTAAAACAACGGTCATCATCCCGCCACACAGGGTATCCACTTCGTGTTTTCTCCCCATCAACTCCGCTGATGCGGCGCTTCCGTGTTCTTCTACCGTTCCGTTCCATAATACTAAATTAGGGCTCAACTCATCGTCCTTGTATCTTTCTGAGATGCGCCTCCAATTCCTCCACTTCTTGCTCTTTTTCTTTTCGGCTGCTATTCCGTCGGTCACGTGTTTCATTTTGGTGCTTTTTAGCATGTCCTTCCGGGTTCTTCGATGAAGGGCTAGAAGAGAAACGATACTGACTAGGTAATAGAAGTAGGACACGAAAAAGTGTGCTCATACTCAAGAAAAGAGGCTTCTTCCTACTTAGAAAGTGTCTACTTTCTTGAGGATGAGTGCACTTTTTCGCTTCATAAGAAGAGGAATGATTTATTACTGTGTGCTTTAGAAGAGAAATTTTGAAGCGATCCTGACTCAGTACCTAGTAAAACCTAGAAAACCAAGTAAAAAGAAGAGCCCGCAATAATTCACGTTATTGTTCCTAGAAGTGCCCATTACGTAGTTCTCTTCTTCTCAAAATTACAACGGCTCCTTCCCCAAGCTCCTTCACCAAGGGGTGTATGTGGTGATTAAGGCTTCTCTATAATATCACCACATACACCTGGGCAGCAAGGATAGTACCAAGAACCCGTTTGTTGCTATTCCGATCTGTCTGAAAATGCTTTTCGCGCTCTCTGCTGGGTGCGTAAAATTTTCTCCAAAAGAACACTTCCCCAAAAGAACACTTCCATTTCAGTTTCCTCCTTCTCGTGCAGTAGCTGTTTCATGAGCGTGGATACACTGGAGCGCCAACCAAGACCCTCTTGTACATTTTTAGGCAGGTCGGAAAACAAAACTCGTGTAAAGCATGGCGATATAGTATTCTAGAAGTTGTAGCTTTCGGATGATCCTTTGGAGTGGAGACAGCTGCGTCAGTTGCGTTTGCACCTCGTCCTTCTGCAGTTTGCTGTGAGTTCTGTGATAAAATCCCCAATGCGGCAGATGCTGCCTTCGACTCCGCAACACCCGATCTTCCTAAGACGCCACTCGATGTACTTAAATGCTGCCTTCGACTCCGCAACATCCGATCTTCCGGAGACGCCACTCGATGTACTTAAATGCTGCCTTCGACTCCGCAACATCCGATCTTCCGAAGACGCCACTCGATGTAAATGCTGCCTTCGACTCCGCAACATCCGATCTTCCGAAGACGCCACTCGATGTAAATGCTGCCTTCGACTCCGCAACATCCGATCTTCCGAAGACGCCACTCGATGTAAATGCTGCCTTCGACTCCGCAACATCCGATCTTCCGAAGACGCCACTCGATGTAAATGCTGCCTTCGACTCCGCAACATCCGATCTTCCGAAGACGCCACTCGATGTAAATGCTGCCTTCGACTCCGCAACATCCGATCTTCCGAAGACGCCACTCGATGTAAATGCTGCCTTCGACTCCGCAACATCCGATCTTCCGAAGACGCCACTCGATGTAAATGCTGCCTTCGACTCCGCAACATCCGATCTTCCGAAGACGCCACTCGATGTAAATGCATCCGTCGTATTCACTTCACCAATATCTTTCTTTGCGACCACTGAAGGCTCTTCCCCTGCTCCACCCGGTAGTAATTGTTCGTCATGGGTGTACGAGTCTCTCAGGAGGAGTTCAGAAAATATCTCGCTTCCTGCTGTCGTGGAATAGCCATATGCACCAGAGGGGAAGAAGCAAGAGCCGGATAATTTGTAAGAGCGATCTTCAGGCGGCTCTGTAACACAAGGACCGAAGATCGAAGTACTGGCGAGAATGAGGACTAGCCCAAGGCTGGTCCAGGAGGGCATCAACATCTTTCTGACAGAGACAGCAGTTCCTTTGTTGTACGACATCATTTTTTGTTATTGCTATGTATTATATGACTGTGTGATATAAAAATACCTATGGCTTCAGATTTCCAGCATGTAAAAACAGAAAAAGAAAATCATTTTTTACGGATCAAGCGATACTCTTCATGTTAATGAAAAGACGCGACGATCTTCACGTAGCCATCAATCTTAATCAAATACTCTTTTACATTCATGGGACAATGTTGTAAAATAAATAGGAGAACATAGAAGATGGCAGGAGAATGGAAGTAGAGGAAGGTTGGAACTAAAAAAAATCGAACTCCTCGTCTCTAAAAGGCTCTAATCTTTGATGTTTGAAAATTGCCAAACTATTTTTCACAGAAAACATACCGGAAAACGCCTGTAGCTGAGTGCCCTGGTATATTTCACGATTGATCATGCTATAAACGATTGAATTCTTCTGGGGATGCCGTCAGTTACGGCTTGCCTGTGTATTCCTATCTGTAGCTTCGAAGGTGAGAAGTAGTAGGATGTATATCAGCGCGGAGGCCAAAAGCTCGCTGCGAGCGCCATCGCGTGAGCGCTCCCTAAGTGAGAGGGAAAGAGGCGCGGGGAGGCGTCTGTAAGGTCGAGAAGACCCTCGAGCTCGATCGAGGCGCACGGGACCAAAAGCCACGCACTTTCGACGGGGAGTCGAAAAAGTCTCCATTGAATTCTGCAGCGGTCTCCCTGGCTCCCAAGGCCGTGACTTTTTCAAGTGTTCAGCTCGAAAACCCTGCAAAAGTCGGGGCTTTTCAACCGATCAACAAGCAGCGCAGGGGCCTTCGTCGCCGCCCCGGCTTATCGCTGCCCGGCTGACTCCATGGCCCTGCGGCTTAGCAGCGGGGCCGCGATGAGCCGACGCGGCGCGCGCCTGCTGGCTCCATGGCCCCGCGGCTGAGCAGCCGCACCGCGTGAAGCCGACGCGGCGGCGCAGGCTCTTGCGCTGGTTGTTGATTGGCTGAAAAGCCCCGACTTTTGCGAAGTTTTTAAGCTGAACACTTGAAAAGGTCGCGGCTTTGGAAGCCAAAGAGACCGCGCGCGCGCCTGCTGACTTCATGGCCCTGCGGCTGAGCAGCCGCACCGCGATAAGCCAACGCGGCGGCGGAGGCTCTTGCGTTGGTTGTTGATTGGTTGAAAGGCCCCGGCCTTTGCGGGGTTTCTAAGCTGAACACTTGAAAGAGTCGCGGTTTTGGAAGCCAAGGAGACGCGCGCGCGCGCCTGCTGACTCTGTGGCCCTACGGATCCGTAGCCGCACCGCGATAAGCGAACGCGGCGGCGAAGGCTCTCGTGCTGGTTGTTGATTGGTTGAAGCGCCCCGACCTGTGCAGAGGTCTCGGGCGGGACCCTTGCCATTGCCCTCCGATTAAAAAGCCACCGAAGACGAACGCTGTCGCAGCCTCAGCAACGCGCCAGAAGAAACCGCCGGCGGATACTCTCAAACGGTTGCCCCTGCGCGTCTGGAGAGCGTCTCGGGCGGTCTCCTTTGCCACACTCGAGACCGCGAGGCCTTCTCGTGCGTCTCGTTCCGTATCGTTGGCGTCTTACTTTGTAGCAGTACCCTGAGGACCAAGTGGCCTTGCCTCGTGCTTCTCCTGATGAAGAGGCTGCTGCTGTTCTGCTTGCTCCACTGGGGAGCGTAAGCGTGGGCGGGAATGGGCGCCCAATACCACGAAGCACGCCTTTGGCGCTTTGGCGTGGCGTCGGCGCGGTCAGGCCGGCACCTTTTCCAGTACAGGCGATACATCCGACACGACTTCGGCACTTACAGTAGGGGCGGCGGCCCTTCTATCATCTGGTGGCGCTGAGGGGAGTGGAACCGGATGCCAGGCATCCGACGAAGCGGGGGCGCAGGACATCGACGCGCCCACTCTAGGGAAAGGCGAGGTTACGACGAACGAGAGGCAAGGCACTTGGTGAAAGGAGGACGCAGGGCCCAGAGGATGCCGAAAAAGCTGAGAGCGTGCCCAGCCTAATGCCACGGGAGGGACGCGAGGAGGCGCGAGAAACAAACGAGGGAACGCAGCCGACGCGAAACCGATAAGCAGACGCCAGAAAAGCACAGAAAAGGAGAGGAGGCAACACGCGAAACGGATGACAAAAAGGGACAACTCAAGAGCAAAGCGCGGCTATGCCTTGAGCAAGAGCAAGACCGGGAGAAGCAAATGAAGAAAAAAGGGCGCAAAGAAATCCAAAAGGGAGCCGAGGCATCGCCGTCCCTTAGCGGTTTCGCTTAAGAGTTTCGCGGGGATCCATTCGAAACCGGTGCCCGCACGAAGTTCGAAACTGTTAAGGGACAGACCTTAGGCACGCCGAAACCGCTAAGGGACTCGCAAAACGGCTGGAGGCTTTTTGCGTTTTGTCTTCACTTTTTTGGCATTTTTCCCTCGTTCATGCTTTGCGTTGTGGCCATTCCCCATCTGCGAGGCCTCGCCATGTGTCTCGCTCTTTGGCGGGTTTGCTCCCTAAGTGTTCAAAAGCCGAAACCGATAAGCGACTCAGGCGAAACCGATAACGGCACCCAGAAAACCTTCGCCGCCTTGGGGTTTTTGCACGTGCTTCGCCACCCACCACAGCAAGAGCACAGGCCACAAGCGCGCAAGCCTCCGGGGATACTATGCACCCCGCCGCCGCGTCGCTTTGTCGCGGTGCGCAGGTGCGTCGCTGCTTTGCTCCGCTTGCACATCGGCGCGGCGACTGAACAGCCGAAACGACTGGCCCGGCCGAATGTATGACCAAAAAGACGGAGCAGGCGGAACGCCGGAAAAAGCAGAACCACTGGACAGGCGGACCGGCTGAACGGGCCGAACGAATGGACAGGCCGCACGACTTGGCAGATAAGCAGAACGACTGAGCAGGCGGGACGACTGAACAGGCAAGGCGCCGGAACAGACAGGGCGACGGAATGCGCAAGACAACCAGAACGAACGGACAGGCGCGCCGGAATGGCCGAACAGACAAGACAGCCGAACAAGCAGAACGGCGCAGCGGACAGAACGACCAACGGAACAGACAGAGCGACAAAACAGACAAGACGACCAAGCAAGGAGAACGACAGAAGAGACAGAAACAAGACCGAACAGCCAGAACGACGGAACAGACAGAACGACGGGGCAGACAAGACGACGGAACAGACAGGACGACGAAACAGACAGGACGACGAAACAGACAGGACGACAGAACAGACAGGACGACGGCCAAACAGGTGGAACGACTTAGCAGAAAAGACGGGGGAACGCCCTCAGGCCGTTGGGCGGTGCTTGGCCATGCTTCAGCCGCAGCCACCGCGGCGCGCCCTCGAATCACAGGGGGGCGAGAATGGAGCGAAGAAGGGAGCCAGAGGAAGACGACAGCCGCGGCAGCTCTTCAGAGAGCCCAGCCCTGCGAGGTCTGCGCGGGTTGGCTCGCATGTCGCGGCTGTCTGCTCCTCTCTCTTCCCTTTCTCCTCCCCCGGTGATTCGAGGGCGCGCCGCGGTGGCTGCGGCTGGCGTGCGCCGTGTTGTGTCTCTCAAGCTGGGCGAAGTCTTTGGACCGGCTCCCCCCTGTGTCTGTGGGCGGCTGCTGGCAGCCGCGGCTGGGGTGCGCTTGGCGGTGTTGCGGTGCGGTTTTTTCTGAGCTTAACCGATGGCGCAGCCTTCAGGACTTGAGAGCAGGGAACGCCGTGGGCAAATCAACTGAGAGAGACCCGCCCAAGGAACAAGCGGCAGCAAGAGCTCGCCCAAACTGGTCAAATTTGACAAACTTCACAAGTGCCCGCCTATCATTTTGGAGGAGCCTGAAACAGACAGAAAGCCCCTGCCACAAACTCCGAGACTTCTCCAAGGCCCTGGCTCGCTTTGGTAGGTCTGCGGCGCGGGTCCTCTTCGATGTGGGTGCCTTTACTTCGCTGCGGAGGCCATTCCCCAGCGCAGCGGCCGCATTCGGTGTCCATCCATTCCTCGGCATACCTTGCCGCATGTCGCGGGTGACGTAGTGACAGGCTACCAGGCTACGCGCGTGGCCTTTCGGTGGCAATTCATAAGATAGCAAAAAAAGGCAGCGAATTCACTTCAGTGGAGACTATAAAAGAAAAGCACCCCGGCCACCTTTTTCGGCTCAGAATCTAGAGGGGGGCGCTACTTTATTTTCCAGTGGGAACAAAAAAGCAGAACAAGTCGCAGCTTTTTTGGCTCAGGGTCTAGGTAGGGGGAAGGGATTTGGCTGCGAATCTATTTCAGAGGGGACTGAAAAAAGTGACACCCCTCCCACCTTTTCCTCCCAGAATCTAGAGGGGAGAGCGTGGGCTATAGGTTTGCTTCACTTGGGACCGGAAAGCCGTCAAGGACACTCCCCGGCTTTTTCCGCTCAGAATCTGGAGTGAAGGGCTTGGGCTGTGGGTTTCTTTCAGTGGGGACCGGAAAAGGCTGAGCGCCTCCCGCCTTTTTTGGTTCAATTACTGGAGGGGAGTGCCCAAGCTGTGAAGTTATTCCAGTGGGGATGAGAAAGAAGGAACTCTCTCCACTGTTTGCGGCTCAATTACTAGAGGGGAGCGCTTGAGCTGTGAACTTATTCCAGTGGAGACGAGAAAAGAAGGGACTTCCTTCGCCGTTTTCTGCTCAATTACTAGAGGGGAGCGCTTGAGCTGCGAACTTATTCCAGTGGGGACACAGAAAAAAGCAAACCCCCCCCACATTTTTGTGGCCAGTTACTAGATGACAGCGGGTGGGCCGGGAGCTTGTATCAGTGGGGAACAGAAGAAGAAGCGCCTTTTTTTGCTCATTTTTGCGAGTTTCCCCCTTGAAAATGAGACCGCCAGGAATTTTTGCCAGTGCTGTCCTATGTCAAAAAATGCCAAGGGGCGCACTTTTTTGAACTGCTCAGCGATCTGCTTCACGCTCTAAAATTCGACGCGGCTGACACCTTCCCCCCGGAGTCTGTATTTTCCAGCCGAGCAGCGTCCTACCTTTAAGAAAAATAAAAAGTGAGCCACTCCCCAACTTTTTCAAAAGTAGGAGACTGTTCGGCTGGAAAATACATACTCCAGCGGAGAAGATGTCAGCCACGTCGAATTATTGCAAATGGGTGGACGGATCGCGCAGAGGGCTGCACCTTTTAACAAAATGCGAAGGACTCGAATCCCTTGGGCAATTGGATCAAAACAAAGCCGCGGCAGTGTCATTAATCGGACGCCAAAGCCGCCCAAGTAGCTAACTAAAAAGAACAAACCAAAGGACTCGATCTCGAAAATTGAAAGAACAGAAAACCACTGGCCGCCGATTAAGAACTTGCCGAAAACCTTGCCAGTGCGAGGCTGCCAAAGCATCCACCACCCGAGCCACCCCTACCCAAGGCCTTCGCGATGCAGTGAGCCACACGCAGGACTGAGGCGGCAAGAGCTGCCCGCTCTGTGTCCCGGGACCGCTGCCCAGCCGTAGCGAAACCGATAAGCAGACGCCAGAAAAGCACAGAAAAGAAGAGAAGGCAGCACGCGAAACCGATAAAAAAGCGGACGGCGCAAGAGCAAAACGTGGCCACGCCTTGAGCAAGACCGGGGGAGGCAAACGGGGGAAAAAGGGGGCAGAGAAATCGACAAGGGAACCGAAGCAACGCTGTCCCTTAACGGTTTCGCCTAAGAGTTTCGCGGGGATCCACTCGAAACCGATACCCGCACGAAGTTCGAAACTGTTAAGGGACAGAAATTAGGCAAGCCGAAACCGCTACGGGACTCGCAAAACGGCCGGCAGCTTCTTGCGTTTTGTCTTCGCTTTTTTGCGGGTTCGCTCCCTAAGTGTTCAAAAGCCGAAGCCGATGGATAGGCGACCCAGGCGAAACCGATAACGGCACCCGGAAAGCCTTCGCCGCCCTGGGGGTTTTGGACGTGTTTCGCCACCCACCACAGTGAGAGCACAGGCCACAAGCGCGCAAGCCTCCGGGGATACTATGCACCCCGCCACCGCGTCGCTCTGTCGCGGTGCGCAGGTGCGTCGCTACTTTGCTCCGCTTGCACATCGGCGCGGCGACTGAACAGAGGAGACAGCCGGACAAGCAGAACGACGCAGCAGACAGAACGACCAACGGAGCGAACAGGGCGACAAAACAGACAAGACGACCAAGCAAGGAGGACGACAGGAGAGACAGAAACAAGACCGAACAGCCAGAACGACGGAACAGACAAGACGACAGAACAGACAAGACGACGGGACAGACAGAACGACAGAACAGACAGAACGACAGCCAAACAGGTGGAACGACTTAGCAGAAGAGACGGGGATACACCCTCAGACCGTTGGGCGGTGCGTGGCCATGCTTCAGCCACAGCCACCACGGCGCGCCCTCGAATCACAGGGAGGCGAGGACGGAGCGAAGAAGGGAGCCAGAGGAAGACGACAGCCGCGAGAGCTCTTCAGAGAGCCCAGCCCTGCGAGCTCTGCGCGGGTTGGCTCGCATGTCGCTGCTGTCTGCTCCTCTCTCTTCCCTTTCTCCTCCCCCGGTGATTCGAGGGCGCGCCGCGGTGGCTGCGGCTGGCGTGCGCCGTGTTGTGTCTCTCAAGCCGGGCGAGGTCTTTGGACTGGCTCCGCCCTGTGTTTGGGGACGGCTGCTTTCAGGACTTGAGAGCAGGGAACACCGTGGGCGAATCTTCTGAGAGAGACCCGCCCAAGGAATGGAACAAGCGGAAGCCAGCAAGAGCTCGCCCAAACTGGTCAAATTTGACAAATTTCATACATGTCCGTCTATCATTTTGGAGAAGCTTGAAACAGATTGCAAGTCTCCACCACAAACTCCGGGACTTCTTCAAGGCCTTGGCTCGCTTTGGTAGGTCTCCGGCGCGGGTCCTCTTCGATGTGGGTACTCTTCGCGGCGGAGGCCATTCCCCCGCGCAGCGGTCGCCTGCGGTGTCCATGCATTCCTTGGCATACCTTGCCGCGTGTCGCGGGTGGCGTAGTGACAGGCTACCAGGCTACACGCGTGGCCTGTCGGTGGCAATTCATAAGATAGCAAAACAAGGCAGCGGACTCATTTCAGTGGAGACTATAAAAGAAGAGCACCCCGCCCAGCTTTTTCGGCTCAGAATCTAGAGGGGGGCAGGGCTCTAGAGCAGGGGACTTTTTTCATTTGGGACAAAAAAGCAGGACGGGCCTCAACTTTTTTGGCTTAGGATCTAGCTAGAGGGAAAGGATTTGGCTGCGAATCTATTTCGGAGAGGACTGAGAAAATGACACTACTCCCGCCTTTTCTTCCCGGAATCTAGACGGGAGAGCGTGCGCGATGAATTCACTTCACAGGGGACCAGAAAGCTGCCTCCAGCTTTTTCCGCTCAGAATCTAGAGGGAAGGGCTTGGGCTGTGGGCCTCTTTCAGTGGGGACCGGAAAAGGCTGAACGCTTTCCACTATTCTGGTTCAATTACTGCAGGGGAGTGTTTGGGCTGTGAGTTTATTCCTGTGGGTTTTAGAAAAAGAGGAGGGCTCTCCACTGTTTGTGGCTCAATTACTAGAGGGGAGTGCTTGGGCTTGGAATTTATTCCAGTTGGGACTAGAAGGGAAGGAGCTCACTTACTAGAGGGGAGCGCTTGGGCTGCGAATCTATTCCGGTGGGGACTATAAAAGCGCAAACTTTTCCCGCGTTTTTGTGGCCAATTAGTAGAGGGGAGCGCTCGGGCTGCGAATTTATTCCAGTGGAGACTAGAAAAGAGCAAACTTCTCCCACGTTTTTGTGGTCAGTGACTGGAGAGGAGTGCTTGGGTTGCGAACTTATTCCGGTGGGGACTAGAAAAGAGAAGCGCTCTCTTTGCTCATTTTTGCAAGTTTTCCTGTTGAAAATGAGACCGCCAGGAATTTTTACGCGTGCTGTCTCATGTCAAAAAATGCAAAAGAGTCCACTTCTTTGAATTATCCAGCCAACTGCTCGACGCTCTAAGATTCGACGCCGCTGACACACTCCCCCCGGAGTTGGTATTTTCTAGCCGAGCAGCTGCCTACTTTTTAAAAAATAAAAGAGAGCAGCTCTCCAATCTTTTTAAAAAGTATGCTGCTGCTTCGCTAGAAAATACACACTCCGGGGAGAACACATCAGCCACATTGAATTACTCCAAACGGCTGGCGGGTTGATGCATGGGGCTGCTTTTTAAAAAAAATCTGAAGGAGTTTAATCCTTCGGGCAGATGCATTAAAAAAAGCCGCGCCGATGTCATTCCCACGATGAATCACTCGAGGTACTCCTTCTACCAGGTTGGTTTTCGACTCACGAAAACCAACCCGCACCCAAAAATCGAACCAAGATTCGGGCAGCTCGTCAACAAGAAAATAAACAAAGAAAAAACTACTTCTCTTTCCACATTGGAGCACTTCACAACGTTCACGATCGGATAAACAGGAAACAGCGGGTCACTGGTCACGCAACACCCGAAATTGAATTGATACTCGGGATATGGATTATGCAGCGAAGACGCGTCCAGACGATCTCTTTGCTCCACGCCAACAATTCTGCGATTGCTCACCACGCGTTTGATCGTACTTTCATCCATATTCAAGCACACGAACTGAGCGTGCTCATCCCGAGCCAGAATCTTGCGCTTACACTCGTAAAAGGCATCATGCGTCAAACGAATGTTCGCGCCGATGTCTTCTCCCGTACGAGTATGACGAAAGCGCCCAGGAGTGATTGCGTTTGCTAATCCAAAACGATTACGCCAGTCACGCAGCCAACCATAGGTGTTCGGGTGTGTAGGAGGATGATTAATCCCATAATAGTGCTGCACCCCCTCACGCTCTGCGATTTGGCGGAACCCAATGATCACTTGAAAGGGTGTAGGAAGACGATCTGAAGTTCGCACCAGCTGCGCCAGTTGACGCTCAGCACGTTCCACAGCCATATCCTCCTCCCGAGTACTCGACCAACGACGAGGTGTACGCGGACGAGGATTCCGAAAATTCGGATCCAAATATCCACGCGCGTTACGACCGTCCATCTCGTACGTAGTCTGCACCCAAATTTATACTGAGACACTCTTTTAGTTTCCTTTTTTCACAGGAATGCGCCGCTGCCGACGAGCTCTCACGCCTTTCCCAGTTTCCTCGCGATCCAGCTGCTCTTGCTCTTGGAGCCTTTGAACGCGAGTTTTATATCCAGGCGTCCTTTTCTCTACCAGCTGCTCGTGAGTAGGACAACTCTCAGACGGGATTATATTGTCCTTACTGCTCCCAGCTGCAGGATCAGAAGGGAACGCCCCTTCAGGAAACTGCGGTAGCTTGCTAACAGCGAGCTCACGGTCTTCAATTTCCAATGTGCGCGCTTCGGCAGTCACTGCAGGCGGGACCGGTAGAAAGAGAAGGTTGCTGATAGGAGTTGCAGCAAGATTCTGTAGCTTATTGCAAGCTTTGACCTGGTTCTGAAACCCAGAAAGCTGGTTCTTCAACCCTTCCAGCTCGAACGCCTTAGCTTTGATAGCAGCCTTGATGCTAAAGATGGAGCCTTCAAGCTGAGCTTTGCGCAAAGACTGGTCCATTGTTTTCTTGAATGATCACTGCAGCAAGTAAATACTTCTACCTAGTGAAGTAAATACGTGCGAAAGTTGTTGTTGTGTGATGATTGAAGAAGTTGTATTGAAGTTGTATTTTACTCGAAGGCACTAAGTGACTTAGTCTCGTTATTTAGAAGAACTAAATAGTTACTTCTACTTATTTTCCCTGAAAAAAACAGAAACTCAGAAGAAGATTGAAGATCAAAAAACTCCAAAACCAAAATCAAAGAACAATGAAGTCTGCTTCTCAGTCCGAATGTTGATCTTAAAAGCTCAACGATCTTGCTTTTTTTTTTGATCTTATAAAAAAATACTCGATCTCAATCAAACACTTCAAGTGTACATAGATCCAGTGCGGCGAACAGCCCTCGAGAGAACTCCTTCAGAACCATTGAAAACGATCTTATTGAGAATCAATTGTACGAAAAATAAGTTCAAGGAAGTACGAAGATCTGCGTTCTGTAGTCTCTGAAATATTAAGCTCATTGAAATAACAGCTCAAAAGTGAAGCTCACACGAAGATCCTATCATTCTCAACCCCTCGTCAGTAGGCGCGCCCAAACCAACCCGAGCTTTTTGCTTGACTTGAGCGCGCGCCGTTTCCTCCTGCAGAAATAGTGCTTTTATGCTCAGCGCAACCCGTTGCACATTGTTTTACCCCATCGCCGTTCTTCTTCGATGCGACTACTACTCTCCGGGAAGCTTCCCACAGCTGCTCCTGCATCGCTGGGCTAGGTTGTCCTGTACCGTTGCCAAATCCAAATCCGTTCAGTTGCTGCTGCATCGGTCGACTTGTTGAAGCAAAAGGAGCTGCTTTCGCAATGTTGTGCCCTTGGTGCTGTGTATTTTGCTGCTGCAGATCTGGCTTAAGCGGAACAAATGGAACTGCGTTTCCAAAGCTATAACCTTGATTATTTTGCTGTTGCATCTGCACTGCAGGCGGCACAGGTACAGCTGAAGAAGCTGACGTCATATTTGCATGATCGTTTTGTTGCGCCTGCGCGGAACCCTGGCGCCGAAAAGGGTTCACAATTGATGCGCATGCACTCGCTGCTGCAGCGTTCGTCACCTAAGGAAATTACTGGAAGACTACAAGGAAGAAACGCCATTGCATAAAAAACGCAACAATCTCGTTTGACAAAAAATTAGATGAAGGAATACGAAACGGAGCTAAAAGATAAAATGCTACCACTGAGCCACTGTTCACATCAGCCTTCGGCTTCAAGCTGCGCGTAGCTTCTAGAAATCGCCTTTTCATTCCAGACACTTTGGTACTCGTAGGCTCACACGCAGTCATCAGCTGCAAAATGCACGCGCGCTGTTTCGGCGTCCACGAATCATTCGTCAAAGACGCATACACACGCTCCCAGTCCATATCACTAGTCTCGTGAGCGATCGAAGGACGCTTCAAACTCAAGTCTTCCTGCGTCTGCGTCCCAGTCTCGACGACGACAGCAACAGCAGCACTTTTTTCTTTACCACACAGGCCGCCTTCTGATGTAGGAAGTTCAGCTTCATCTGGTTCCTGTTTCGATGATTCTGCTTTTGGCAAATTCCTAGGCTTCAACGGAACTCTATTCTTCATAGACATCGCCTGCGACTGGAAAAGTTCTTTGAGTTGCTGCCGTCTCGCATGGTCAACAAGAAACTCGTGATCGATTGCATTCCCTGTAGAGATCACATCTTGCGCAACAGCTACAGCCAGCTGTTGATCTCCAATTTTTTTCTCGCTTGTGGACCGCTCCACTCCCACCACATCGACTTCGCTAGTCACTGGCGCACGCTGCGAAATACTCAGCAGGAGTTCGCCTTCTGATGAGCAGGGTTCCCCTTTCACTTGAACGGCCGAACTAAGAGTAGCATCGTCAGCTTTAGTCCGTTCTTCTGTACTTATAGCTCCAGCAGCAGAAACCCCAGCGACGTCGACACTCGAGTCCAATTCTGCAACTGCAAAAGACGATGGACATTCTGGAGCTGCTGCTGCAACTGGCTGGATCCCAAGCTGAATTCCTGCCTGAGTTTCTTTTACGAATTCATCAACGAAAGTCGCTAGCCTCGTTCGAAATTCCCCACTAACCACCACGAGCCCCGTCGTCGGATCAGCCTCCATAGTCTCTGCAGCAAAAAGAGCCTCAGCTTTTTTATGCACCAGAGAGCACTCCAAGATGATGTCCCAACAGACCTTGCAGACGCTCTTTGCTTGCCCTCGACTTCCGACGAGACTATTCGCTAAGAAATCCAAAACAAAGAAGCGATAGAGCATGTTGTACTTCACCTCCTTCCCTCTTTCTTGCAAAGGATTCGCAGGCGGTTCACCGTTCCGCAACTTGAAGCATTGCCGCAAGACCACCTTGAAAGTTTCCTCTTCTTGATGGGTCATATCCTTGTTGCGATCGCGTTCGTAATCGCAAAGGATTTTGAGAACTGCTTCAGGAGACTCTTCCTCATCGGAAGACTTCTGCTGCTCTTCTACCATAGTGATAATGATAACGAGAGTAACAAAATTCTTCAAGAAAGAAGATATCTAAACGAGAGCAAAGCTAGACGATGGAAAGTCTGAATGCAAAACAAGTCTGAAAGGTAGATAATGCAAAGTCTGAATGCAATTCAAGTCCCAACGAGATCAAAGATAGATGATGCAAAGTCTGAATGCTAGATAATTTGATTACTAGATAAGCAGTTTGCGACTCTTCAGCACTCTCTTCACGATGCTACTCTCTGGACGAGAAGAGACTTTTCTGCTATCATTATGGCGCATAGAACATTGATTCTTCATGCCTGAGGCCGTAGGCCTCAGGCATCTAAGAATCAATTTTCTAAGTGGCAAAAGCTTTACCCAATCCCAATCCAAATGGCGCATAGAAAATTGACACTCGCCTGCCTGAGGCCGAAGGCCTCAGGCACGTGAATGTCAAATTTTCTAAGGGGCAAAGGCGTTTCCCTAACCCTGCCCTTCCCTAACCCTGCTCTTCCCTAACCCTGCCCTTCCCCAGCCCTGCCCTCCCCCCCCCCGCGCCCACCCCGGACCCCATTTTCCATGATAGGGGGATTTGTTTTTCTTCATCCCATAGTATACAGTTCTCCAATCATGGAAAATGGGGTCCGGGGTGGGCGGCGGGGGGGGGGGCGAGAAGAAAAGCTTTTGCCCCCTAGAATGTTGATTTTTTATAGACCTGAGGCCTACGGCCTCAGGTATATAAAAATCAATGTTCTATGCGCCATAATCACGAAACGACGCTACTAGCTGCTACTACGCGCGCTTCAGCGAAACGATGCTACCACGCGTCGCTGCGAAACGATGCTACTACGCGTCGCTGCGAAACGATGCTACTGCGCGTCGCTGCGAATCGATGCTACTACGCGTCGCTGCGAAACGATGCTACTACGCGTCGCTGCGAAACGAAACGCAAGCGCGAAAGTCGAAAGAGCTAAGACGCCACGCAACTGCGAGAAGCGAAGATGTTAGACGAAGACCAAGATGATACGAACACACTACTAAGCGCAATACAATGTGTCTCATGATTCATAGCCAAGTTGTTATAGTTCAGCGAGTAGTTCTGCATGTATTCACTTCTCTATAGTTCAGCAAGTAGTTCTGCCTGCACACAAGGATCATACAAAATCTAAATTAGTTCAAGTTAAATATTTCCAGTTCATCAAAGCAACGAAATGCTAGATCAGCTAGAGGGTGGTGATCCACCAGAAGGCATCCAATTTCCAGACTGCATCATCTTCAGGGCGTTCTGGTAGACGTACGACATGAGGTCCGGTGGGATTTGGCCAGGTGGTGGAAACGAAGCGACAGATGATGAAGCGTCGTTGATGTTATGGCCCTGATGAAGCGACGCTGCCGATTGTTGTGCGGGTGCACTTCCAGGTCCAGACGCGAGCGCTCCTGCTGTTCCGCTAACACCTAATCCGATGAGGGGATGATGTAGCTGACCGTAAATCGAAGCTGCAATTGATGGTGCTTGCGAAGCTGTTGGAGAACTTCCTGCATTGGGTGAAGACGCACCGGAAGCAGGGACACCAAAAAAAGGCTGCTGGATGCCGAGTGGAGCGCTCGCTGGGTTCACTCTCTTCGCAGATGATTTGAATTTCGACTCTGCACGAGCTCGGGTGATGCGTTCTTGCACAATATCATACCAGAACGACGTTTGCTTTGTTGCATCAGCGTCCCACTCTGCTCGCTTCGCAATGAGGATATTATCAAAGTCATCAGCCGGATTCAGAGTCGGTTCAGGGACTGGCTGCGACAAGTCGGCTTTGAATGATCGAGTACAAAAACAATCGAGGCAGACGTCTTTTCCAGGTGGTGGCTCTAGCGCGGTCCCCGGCGGATAGGAGTTGTCTAGAACTTCTATGTCAAGGCGATTGATTACGTGGCACTTGTATTCGCCTACTACCACCGTAGCGTCATCAGGTAGGAAGTGCTCGACAGGACCTGCCCAAACCACTGGCTTAGTGAAGTTCGTTCGCGCAGCGCCGTTTGTCATCGTTTGTGATTGCGAAACAAGAAGAGGCTCTCCTGAACACAACTGCAAGAACATCGTCAGCGATATCCCTCCTCGACCAGCATTTGCAGTTGCAGCCTGTTCTTCGCATCGCCACTCAGAAAATTAGCAGCAAGAATAATTATTGTTTCACAAGAACACATCAAAGCGGTGAAACAGATCAAAGTGAATTAGGTTTTTTTCACACGTGGCGAAACAGATCAAATAATGGAGTTGTAGTATAAAAGAATGAACCATAATCGAAGATGGCTGCGCGTGTCTTGAAATCGGCCAGGGCTGTAAAGCTATTCGGATTTCCTGTTTATGAGAGAGCAAAAAGCGAAAGCCTACGATGCTGAAGAATGAGTAGCGGGATGCTACTACTTGAAGACGATCCCACTACACGAAGGAAGATCGCTTTTGCTCTTGCCTTAACATGGTGCCGGGTGTCAGTTGCACGAAGTCGACTCCACCACATAACGCGATTAGTGGCTTCGTGATCAGCAACGACTTGGCGCTATTACTCGGCCCCAAGAGGCAAGGACATTTGCGGACCTTGCTTGGTCCATGTTTCGCTTGTTGCACTACGCCCTTCAACAGTTTCGGATAGGAGAACCGTGGATTCTTGTGCTCGATATCAGCCACGAGCTTGTTCCAGTGGCAATTTCCTTTGCATTTTTCTGGATTCAGAGCACGTTCACGAATTCGATCCCAAAGGTTCTTGTTAGCTTCGGCCACTGCTGCCATATTCGCCTTATTGAACTCCCAAGCCTGTTTCACCATCTTGTCTGCGTTGCCGATGTGGTTCATCACATATTGGTAGTACGCAGGCTCCTGCTCTTTACCTGGGGACGCAAAAGATGAAGGGTGAGGCGTAAGTTATAGCTATGACAAAACAGACCACGAATACAAGAGAAAATAATAAAAAGAGCAAGTAATAAAAAGCAGCGAGCTATAAAGCAGGAGTATATGAAGATACTCCAAGCGTATAGATGCATGCCGTCTTGAATTTTGTGCTCGATAATCGCTTCGATGATGTGGTACTCCTTGAGGTTCTTCAGTTCGCCTTGTCGTAATCGTTCCCGAGCTTTTTTCACGTTCACAGTCGGGTCCCAGGATTCTGCACAATCAGCATAGACATCATCTACGTTCTTGGTAATCGGGTCCATGTCAAGCTGGTTTAGCGGCTTATGCTGCGATGGGTAGAATAAATATCTCAAAGCAGTTGCCCACTCCTCGTGAACGCCAACGTGCGCGTTGACTCCGTATTTCTGTTTCATGTGCTCCCTGAACTGCGTGATCATCCAGCGTTCGCTGACCAATTTATCCAGTTGCACGCAAGTATGGAAGTGGTTCAAGAAGGGCTCTCCTGCTTCAGCTTCACGCATTTCCGGTAGTGTCTCGCTTGATGATGTGTTGTTTTTGTTGCTACCGTTGGCGTCAACATCTGGAGTAGTGCGCTCTGCAGGATCGGTTGAGACTACTAGAGACTTATCGTCGAGAAAGGTGTTCACGCGTAACGGACAGCCATTGTTATTCTTGGGAGCACGCAAGAAATTACCCGCATCCTGTTGTTTCTGCAATTCGTTCCAGCGATTCGCGTGACTCTGAAAGGAGTTTTATGGATTAGCGCCAGACGACGTGCCACTCGATTGCGCTTGCTGATTGGGATTTGCGTTAGCGCTGGACGATGAGCTTGAACTTGAAGACGAAGAAGAGCTCGCTGCAGGTTGAGCACCAGGTTGAAACCTCTTCATGAAATTGCTGAAAAGCTGATCTGCTCGACGTAACATTGGGTCATCATTAGCGTTTTGCTCATGTTGCTCTCGAGCAACCTCTTCGCAGACCATCTCCTCCTCTACCTCAGATTTTTCTAGATCTACATCACTCCCAGTCTCCTTCTCCTCTTTTTGATGGCACAGGCAGCCAAGATGTTTGCGTTCGTCTGGATTCGGAGGCTCCATCGCAGTTGCAGCAGCAACTACAACTGGCGGCGTCCACACAGCGGCGTTAGGAGGCTTCTTGCAGTTCCTCACACTGGAAACGACTTGCCGCATCATCTCCACTCGAGACTCTGTCATTCCTGGCTGGTTATAGACGGTCACTGTGAAGACTTTGCTTCGATTATGACGGTCTGCTTCTTTGCGTTTTTTCATGAAGATTCGTCTGCGGCGTCGTTCGTTGTTGTCAACTGTCTTAGGTAGCGCCTGAGAAGCAGCTTTACGCTGAGCAGCCTTAGGCTGGGCAGCCTCAGGTTGAGCAGCAGCATTTGCAGGCTGGCGAGCAGCTGCAGCAGACACGCGCTTCTTCCCTTCTCCTTTCCCCACATTGATATTTCTAGCACCGCTACCAGCGTCATTTTCTGCATCCTCAGGCTCGAAAAGATCATCTTCCAACTCCAGTTTTTCGTCTTCTGGTAGCCTTGCCTTTGCCTTTTTTGCTTTTGTTTTCATAGTAGTAGAGGACGACTTGCCATTTCCCTTAGTACTCGTAGTTGAAGTAGAGCTACTACTTCCGCCACCAGCACGAGAAGCTCGCAGGGAAGAAGAAAACCCATCACCGGTTTTTACTTCGGCATCCAAATCAAAGAAAGAGTCTTCGCTGTCGGCGTGCAAATTAAGGATATCCGCGTCCAATTGCTCTGCGGAAGAGCGTTTTGCAGTTTTCATTCTTTTGCTTGTTCGCTTAAACAAACCATCGACATGTTCTCGTTGAGAGTTCGTAGTATCAAGATTATCAAAGACGTCCTCAGTCAAATTTTTACGGCTTCTTTTGGGGTTAGGATTGGCCTTAGGGGAAGGCGCGGCAATGCGGGGTTTAGGTTGGGGCTTAGTCTTAGCAACTTTTCTAGGAGGCATTTTTTATTTTTACGGGTGGGAGGAGCAAGGTCTCTCAAGGGTCTGTCTTTCAGAAATTACATCCTATACTGTTTTCGAATGACAAGGAAAGGAATAAAAGGTGTCGCCAACTCTCTCTCTCTCTCTCTTCATAGCTAGATCATAGTTTGAAAGGTTGGGAACAGTCTGGCGTCGACAAGCAAAAAAAGATAGCTGCTCACGCTCTAGCGAAAGCTTTTTTTTATAATCGAGACAAGTCAGCTTGCATCAATTTTCGACGAAAAAACGAGTCGACCGCTTCAAACGAGTTTCGAGATTCGAGCGAAAAAAAAAGCACTGCCTTCACCATTTCTGAAAAACTAGCACGTGCGACACCGACGAAAGTAATGTCGTGTACATATAGTTACTCTGCTGCAACAAAAAAAAGTAAACGTTCATCAATTTTTAGAGCCTGTGTATGCACTATGATAAGTCATTCAATGAGAAAAGTAAACCTTCACACATGCGACTTGATATTAATGGAGCATAAGTAATATCGTAGCACAAGCACGGGCCACAATACAAATTCACACAATCGCCATCTTCAACAACCATCGCTTTTGAAAAATGACCCCACGGTCATTTTTTTTTTGAAAAGTGACCACGTTCATTTTTATTCGAACATCGGATCTACTTCCTGTAGGAACTCCCGAGTACGGCGCCACATCAAACCACGCTCCGGCTGGTGCACCTCTGGGTCCGGATTGAATCCACACTTGATGAATTCTTGCTGCGTACTGAAACGAGTTTGATAGCTGCAAAGCAACTGAATCTGATCAAACAAGTCGATGCCTGCGTTCGTCGTGCTGCTGTGGCGACGGATAGCCTTTTTGAATACACCAATCACCGACTGGTCACACGGCTGAATATACGACGTGGTTTCTGCACGAATAGGAACGATCCACACGTTGTCCTCAGCAGAAAACTGACCGAATGCACCATGGCGAAAGTCTGGAGTCAGCGTTTGATGAGTCGGAGCTTGGTCAAGCATGCAAAGCAAGTAGGTGTGATCTTGACGAGTTGGCGGCAGCTGAGAGAGGTAGACACGCCAACGCGGAATCACTTTCGTTTGGAACCAGGACCGCACATCGTCTCCTTTCAGCGATCCATAGATCACACCACTCATTCGCTGATCGATAGCCTAATGGGAGCAAGAAAAAGGAGATGAAAGCACACGCCGATTAACAAGATCTGATCCGGTTCGATCCCCCACTAGAATCTGGACCGGATGACTTGAATCCGGTTACCGAAATCCGGTTTTTCTAGTGCGTTTTCGAGCACCGGATTGAGTCGCGTGGAAAAAAAGAATTTATAGGGCCAGCTATAAATTCTTTTTACGTGTGAGACAATCCGGTTACATAATTACCATAAGCAGGACCGGACTTCGGTAACCGGATCCAACTCTTCCGGTTCAGATTCTAATGGGGTTCAGAACCGGAAAATTAAATAATTATTTTTACATTTTTTTTTTCAAATAAAAATTTTTTTTTTTAAGACCACTGGATTCTAATTTTAACACTCACAAAAATAAGGTACATCCGAAGGGCTGTCGGAGTGTACCAGAGTGATTCACCGGTGGATTAATCAGACGCCCAAGCCACCTGAGAAGCTAACTAAAAACAAGAAATCAAGAAGCTCGACCTCGAAAATCGAAAGAGCAAAAAATAGAAATGGCCGAAGGAAAGCAGTGGCCCAGCATTGTGACCCGATCTCGCTCCTAGCGGAATCTAGTGCCCTTATCGACCCAATAAAATTCGGAGCTTCCCAAGCGTTTGGGTCCTGAATGTAGGAACCGCAACAGCGTCGAGAAGCATCCGAGCGAGACTCTAAGCTTTCAAAATATGAACAGACTCGCCACCTACAGGAGGAGACTAACTACTTTACCACCAGCCTGGTCACGTTTTCGCCGACATGCGGTCTGGTGACTGTGTATGCCTCGTGGCTGAAAAAAGTTGCCGCATATCTCGCACTCGACGAGACTCATCGTCGGCTTTTTTTCGTCGCCGATCTTTAGCTCAGCCGGCATGTTCTTGCAGAGCTAAGCCACGATTTATTAACAAGTAAATAGAGTTAGAACCTACGTAAATATCTAACAGAATAAACAGTAAGCACTTACCTAATCAGCAAACGCATCACCTGACGTAGATTGATTATACCTAGGAAGTCATGGTTTGGCTTGGTACTGATCGGCACACCATGCGCGAAGGAGCGCTTGATCCGGTTATCGTTCACCATCTCCATTCTTTTCTTAGCCAGCTTGTCCGTCATGCTCTTAGTTTTTTTGTCCAAGTCAACAATTTGCTCCTGGATTTGCGTTCGCTTGCGTTGTTCTTGTAGTTCTAACTCCTCTCCCGTTTTTTGCTTCTTCGTCTTCTGAACTTTCCACACACCAGCGCTGATGCATAGTTTTTTTGCTTCTTCCAGCAACGCTTGCTTGGCTTTCGCTTCTTCTGTGTCGCCTTCTACAGACGTCTCAAAAAAAATCTGAGAAGCAGACTTCCGCTTCTTGGGAGTCACTTCATCAACTGCAACCAGTGCAGCACTCTCCATTTCTTCCTCCTCTCGTAGTTGCTCGCGGAGTTCCTGCTCAACAACAACAATGCTCTTCTTCCCGTTTGGCATCGACATCGTCACCCCGTCGTTAGATGTATCTGCTAGATTGTCACCCAGTATTTGTTTCTTGGTTCCATTTCCTTACTCCCTTCGGGATAAAAATTTCTCCAATTCGGACTGAAGTGGAGCAAAAGCGTCGGGGCGCAATACAAAACCTAGCTTGTCAAAAGTCGCATCCTTGGAAAAGTATGCAAGTTTTTTCATCGTGTACTCCTTGAACAGTGGATTGATCAAAGAATAATACTCCTCCTGTTCCTGGCTTTGTCCGAGTTTGATGATGGATTAGAAATAGGCTCTCCGTGTGCTTCTTTTCTCTCCTCGTGTTCGTAAGAACACAAGAAGAGAACCAAACGACACAGAAAGCTATTCGTAAGAGCTGAGTATTCCTTGCGTATCTAGTGGCTGCAGTTTGCTCCCTGTCTCTGGTTGCAGCACGAAAGTTAAAATGTGCTGCTTGTCTTCCAACTCTTCCTCTCTGAGTGTATCGTCCAGCCTATGCGCGCCAAGATCATCCAAAATCCACAAGAGCAGTATGGTTCTCTGCAGCGTTTGTTCGCGAGCTTTCTTCTCTTCTATGACTCTCTTGACTATTTTCCTCATCATACTCGAGTCCACCATGTGCGTCCCTTTGGAATTCCCGTGCTTTTCTATGTACGCATCACCACCCCAAACAGCTTCCACCTCTATCTTTGTCGCCATGTTTGGATTCTGCTTTTTAAATATGATCGTTGGCTTCAGCTGCAGGAGTGGAGTATCAGTCACGAAGAAAACTCAACTATTAGCGTGGAACCTTGCTCGTCGACGTTGCTACCTTGGCACGATTTTCCTGAATAATCTAAGAGCAAAACTCACACAAAAAGGAAGCAGCAACATAGACGAGCAAGCACGGGCGTAACTGTGACCCCCTCTTTTGTTGTTTTTCGTGCTCCATTCCAATCACGCGAGACGCGCCGCGCGTCCTTCTTCGGTATGATGACAGCACGCGCCTGGGCATGTGACCTTAGGAAAGTCTCGTCCATATTGCATCTAATGAGCAGCGGCCGCTGACCTGTGTGCCTTTCGATCTCGTTGATTTTCATCTCGACCAACTCTAGGTATCGCAACCATCTCCCCCATGTCAGATATATCTCCTCCCTTAGTTGCGCTTCTGAACGTACAGAACTGAGGTGGATGTTTGTGGTGCGTTTCATGTTGTGCCTGGCTCGGAAAGTTCTAAGCCATTTGTCTGTATGTTTGTGCCCCACGCCATGCTTGCAACCATAGTACTCACTACAACCAGCTTCGGCCATGCGCTCAATGAATTCCCTCTGAATGGCTTGCGGCTCCCATGGCTTCTCTCCTTGTTGATTCATTCGCACAATGTCCTCCGCGAGCTTTGCTTCCACCTCAATTCTAGCCTGTAACTGTATGCCACCCCTGGAGCTAACCCGCTTGCGCTTTCTGTTAAAGAAGGCGACGGGCGAAGAGTCTTTGATTATCTGTAGCTCTTGCTCTCTAAGTTTCTTCTTTTCCCGTATCAGCTTCTTCTTTGCCTGCTCCACCTCTCCTCCCACACCCTCCTCCATGGAGTCCTCGCTAGAGCTCTCTGGGAGCTCTTCCCCTAATGATTCCACCCCATCCAAGTCCCCACCCAAAGCTACCCAGTCCCTATTTAGCTTCTCCACTCGCTTACGGCACAACCTCCAGTGGCTCTTTAATCTATCAGTTTCCCAAGTATCTAAATCCACTTTATCATACATAGGAAAACTGAACTGCTCGCCAAGTTGCACGAACTTCCGAATATTGGGACCAAGAAACATCTTCGCCGTGACAATCTAGCAAATTTCCATACAGCAGCTTATTCCAGATTCCAAGATAAATCGCCGCGATTTTGCTCGATGGATCTCCGTATTCTTCGCTTCGTATAGACCAGAGATTCTAAAATTCAATATGAAAACTTTTTCGGATCGTGTAATTTTCTTACTCAATGAGAACTTTCTACGAGAACGAGCACAAAGCAAGATACTCCTTCAGATATGCATGGACACTAGATGAACTGACAGCACAAAAAAAGGATCAGGCTCAAGCAACAAGGTGGAAGTAACAATGTCTCCTGTCATCGAAGGGAATGTGTTGCATCATATTAGACCATCTAAAAGTTTTTTGTTTCTACCTTCTTCAGAATATCATTTACAATTTTGGAATGCCGTGCTCTCAAACATGTTTTTCGTGCCTCGCACGGGAGACCAGATTTTTCATTCTTTTCTCAACAGAACAACTTCTTTCTTAAACAAACTTTTTTCCTCGCGCATGATCATCAGAGATTCCAGCGTCTCAACAGAAACAATCTTAGCTTCTCTATTGCTTCACTCGTACATAAATAATACTTCTCACTTTCACATCTGTCAATATTCGCTTGTTGATTCGTAGTATGAATGATGCTTATTGAAATAAAACATCATACAGAAAGACCTGCGCTCACCTACCAACTGCAAGCAGTATAGGAATTACAACATAATCATTTTTATTTTTCTAATTGCCTACTCTGTCTTCACTTCAAGAACTTGAATGAAATTAAGGAAAAAGTTAGAGTGTTGCTGTAAATAATGCAGTTGTCTACGATTCGTCATTACCATCCCACAAGAAAGATGAGTGATGCATCTTACGAATCATTGATTGGGCTGTCTCACTTAGAATATATTCTTATCATACGCTTACAACTTACAGGAAAACCATCATCATACATCATAAAGCAAATAAAAAATCAACCTACTGCCTCACAAGCATATAGGATTTTATAATTACGTATGACTACTATTTTCCTATCTGTATCTCCAACACCTAGCCCAATCCGCTCCAGCCTCATCAAATCAGCATGCCACAAAGTTAGCCCCTGAAATTATTTTTTGATAAATGATGCAGGACCATGCAAATATTTAGAACAAAAAAACTACCAGAGTACGGAACTCCTCGAATTCAAAACAAACACAAAAATAGGAATCGAGTGGACTCGATCCGTATCGTTTGCATAAGATGGAAACCAAGGAGCCGACTAACCTCAGGAGAAACGGAAACAATCAGCAAGCTGAGAGTTTTCGTCTAAAGTTTCAACACTCTCCAGGACCATCTTCGCGAGTCCCGTGCCCTGGGTGGTCTAAGCCCAGCGCACTCCCCTACACCATCTCCCCGAATGCTCTGCCCTGGATCTTTTAAGCCCAGGGCGCTCCCCTTGACCATCTTCGCGAACGCTCCGCCCTGGGTGGTCTAAGCCCAGAGCGCTCCCCTCGACCCTCCTGGGTGGTCTAAGCCCAGGACCCTTCTCATGCACGAAAAAAACTCACCACCCTGGCCCCCAAGATACGCAAGGCGTCGCGTCGCCGAATGCTTCATCGATGTAATTGCTCCGCCAGTCTACGCACCGGCTAGCACTCGAAAGGCCCCAGCCTCACCAATCGGCACCATCGTCGCAGCATCCTGCCACAGCATTGCAGCACGCTGGCTTGCTCGCGCCAGTCTCTCCAATCCTTGCCGCTAATGTTCTCAGAGCTACGCACTGCACGGCTGTAGGCTCTCTTCTCCGTAACTTCCGCCGCCTCGCGATCCCCCGGCAGCTTCTCAAGTGGCTGCGTGTGTATTATTCTCCCACAGGAGAAGAGCGGAAGCCACTAACACGACGGCGCGGCGCTGGTTCCGCCATGCTCGCCGCTCTCTTTTTTTGGGCGTCGAAGCTATACGAGGAACGCCCGGAGACTTGCCGCACTCGCATCCAGACGCGAAAGATGTCGCCCCGTGACCATAAGCCTCCACGCCCTTCCCTCTGAGCTCGCTGGCTCCGGCCATAACGCACGCGCTGAGACATGTGCCGCAATGATTGCAAGGCCCTGCGTCGCACCCTCGAGGAAGCAAGGAACTCCCTACGTGAAAGACGCAAACCCCTCCCAAAATTAGGACGCTACTCCATCGAAGGAGTGCAAACGCATAGCCGAGGAAAACCCACGCGACTAAGGCACGACCATAAAACTTAGACACTACACCACGCGAGTAAGGCACGACCATTAAACTCAAACACTACACGAAAGACAAAAAAAAAATCAACCACGTCACAAAACCAAGAAGCGAACCCTGAAAAACTGGCAAAACACTCAAAAACAATAAACACCCAAAGCACGGACAAAGCTCGCCAAATAACAAACAACACTTGCCCAACACTCACAAGAAACGACATCACAAACCCGCGCGCCCTTCTGCACCTTCTTCCCACGCTTCAAGACTCCTCCTACCCAACAACGCAATCAAGCGAATTCGAACGCGTTAGAAACTCTGCACGTCAACGTTCATCATCTAAAAGTTAGAAACTAAAAAATATTTCTACCAAGTAATTTCGCGATATGCCGAAAAGAGAAGCTTCTTATCAAGATCCTTCGCAATGAGCGCAACTCGGTATCCGATAAATGCGTACTTCATACCACAAGTGCGCATACAGTCGATACATTTGCGCTTGTGGTCGTCACTGAAATGTGGTCGGCCGCCGCACTTTAGAATAGAGCAAGAACAAGGAACATAGAAGATGGAGATAAACACATCAAAAATGCACCATTTGTAATCTCTCTAGTCACAACCAGCCATAGCAAGATGATGCTCTTTCAAATCATGAACTTAGAACTTTGATACTACGCTACAGCCTTAAGATCAACACCATGTACAGCACCTGCGAAAACAGCTTCTGCTGCCGTTGGCCCACTCTTCCCAAGACACTCGACATATTTTTTCGCACAAAACGACTCAGCACCCAAAGCTTCACAAAAAAAGCTCGCTGTAGAAAGACACGATTTTAATAAGATGCATATAATCATCGTCATTCCAAGGAAGGTTTTAGCTAGGAAGTGACGATAACAACTTTCATAAACGTAATTTCCTACTCACCAGCGAAAGAGCAACGGGAACATGATAAACCCGTAGTACCTCACTAGGCATCCAATCCAGCCATGCCTTCGTTTCTTCATTTGCGTTCACATTCTCCAACTTCTTGTAAATTTTCAAATCGTACTCGCCTAGAAATTTTAGCTCGACGAGCTCCCTGGAAGAGACAAGCGATCGTAGAAGTTCACTTCGAGGAAGACAAAACACTTTCATGAATTGAATAAATATACACAACCTCATACTAAAACTCAACTTCCATAAAGTACATAATGGCCAACTACTGTGAGCTTCGTTAATACTGAATCATCGTTAGTACTGAATTCTTTCCTTTGTGAGCTCTTCCTCGAGGAACGGCATGAAATTGTGCTGCGTGTGAAAATTGTCGCTCACCAAGTTCGACGTATGTAAGGTTCGAATTGCATGCTGCACCTTCAAAAACTCCTCAACCGCTTTTCCAGGATGAAGTTCTCGCTGCTGGTTCTGATACTCATCCATTTTTGCCAAAAAATGCTGTAAAGTGTTGTTGTATATCATTCAAAAAAAAAAAATGAAAGATCGTTGATACTCAAAATTTTATTTTTTAGTCAGCATCCTAAATGATACAAGATCACAAGGAAACGTACCTTCATAACAGGGCAGGACACGTCACATTCAACGTCAATTGCTTTTGCTCGAACTACATACTCAGGAGTCGGCGGCACATTCGTTCCAGCAAGATCTACAGCATTAATTACTGCACCACTTGCTACAGCACCTCGAGTTCCTCCGGATGCAAGAGCTGAGATCTCACCAGCACTGCGAATACTCGCATTACACACAGGCCCACGTAAATCTTCCACCGTCACTTGTGTCTCAGGAGTATCAAAACCCTGCTCATTTGCATTACTGGTTCTACTATCACCAGTACAATCTCCGACGATCATACTCCCACACCCACTTCCATTTTTTCCTTGTTCACTATTACTATTCGAAGCTTGTGTAGCAGGTTCTTCTGCTTGCACGATAGCATCTAGAATCTGCTTCTTCAGTGCTGGTGCCATTTGTAACGCCTCCAACAATGCCTCCGTCACAGATCTATCGCGCTTTGCAGATGCACCTTCATCTCCCGGCATCCTTCCTCCACAGTAGTACCACAAGCACAAAGATTACTGGTACTGATTCACTTGTTCTACTGATACGAGCGGCAAACTACTACTACTCGGACAATTGCTCGAATACCACTGCACGAAGGGACCGCCGAGACTCGTGTAATCAACCGTGATCTTATACTTCGTGCTACTTGTTCTATAGCTGTGTGCGACCCCTTGCACAAATTGCGTCGAATCACAGTTGTAATTTCCACCGATTGTTGAATTATCACCGTTACTCAAATTCTGTTGACGAGCATCACACAAAAGCCGTGTGAGAAGTAAACTATCAAACTGTTCGAGTGAAACTCCAGGAGGAAAAATACTAGTAGAAGAAAAATACGATGATTGATCAGGAACAAAACTAGATGCTCCGATGTTCAAACTTGATGAGGAATCAGCCACAGCTTCGTGATTTTGTTTACTAGATAAAAAACTGAATGTGCCTTGATCTAAACAAGTATCTTGCTGCAAAGATGTTTCTTGATGTTTTGCTTCTTCCTTATCTTCTGTAGAGGTACTCCTGGGAGGAAATGGAACAACAACGATTGGACCAGTCAATTCAACACCAATTCCACTACCTACTCCCTGTTCTACTCCTAATGGAGGTGGCGGCGGCGGTTCAACACAAGTTTCGTCTCGAGAACTATTTTGCACCTGAAGTTCTTCCTCGTCGTTCGGTTCTTCTTCTTCTCCTAGGAGAATTTGCTCTCCTTCTTGTTGCCACAATCGATTATACTCCCGTGTCCTCTTATCAAGTCTCTTTCGACCCATTCTTCCTATTCCTTCATCACACAAGTTTGAACCTACGATCTAAGAATCCATCATATACGAACAAAAAACATATTTCTAGATTTACAAGCATCCTCTCTCACTGTGACTTTCGTGCCAGACTCGCCTGCATGGAACACTTCTGCTGATAAACGATGCATTTCAATAAATTTCGATTGCCATTCTTCACTTCATGATATGGGAACAAAAAATCTCATATACCCAAATACTTTTGCCAAGAACACGACCTAGAACAACACCTTCAGAAAATCTCATATACACAAATACTTTTCATAAGCAGACGAACTAGCNACAACACCTTCAGAAAATCTCATATACACAAATACTTTTCATAAGCAGACGAACTAGCACAATTCCTTCAAGCCCTGATATTCATTCAAGTCTCACATGATAAGAACTTTTTTTGAGCGAACATATTTCGAAACCCACACTTGCGCATGAACAAATCTCTTTTCATGAATAGGAATTACAACAACCTATTCTGCACCTCAGTGCCGATCTTGCTCTTCTGAGAGCAACATGCATAGAACCTCCCTAATTAACTCACGGCCTTCACGATCTTCCTATACACGAGTAACAACTCTTATACAAACTGTGCAACGATAATCCTCACTCTTTCCTGACCGATCACAAAAATTACTTTCTCCAAGTACCAAATATTTTAGACATCGTTTAGCCTAGCCACCATACCGCATTACCCAAAGACAAGAGAAAGAAAACAAAACAGGACCACGGGGAAACCACTTATTATCCTTTTTGGTTTTATCTCTTTCTTTTTTCGCTCTTTTGTCCTTGGGTAATGCGGTATGGTGGCTAGGCTAATGGGATCCTTAAATAAGGAATTCTTGGAGGCAGAATCTAACCGTAAGTATGAAGCCAAATCGGTGTAAATCGAAGGCATGTATGAACCTGATAGTATGGAAAAAAAAAATGTATGTTATGAAAAAGTTAGATGGAATATGAAATTAATCAAAGAGATGTTTTTGGACTTTACTAGGCCAGGTGTTATCATCGGTTTCGACTGTTGCCGCAATAAGTTCAGACATACAAAAACCACACGCAGGAATTCCATTGTTTGCATTATCGTGGAGTTTCTTTGTTGTGTGGCATCGAGTCTCTCTATCGAATTGTTGATCCTGTTCTTTCTGCTGTGCCTCTTCGTCCAGTATTCCTTCAACACCAATCTCCGGAGCATGCAGAGGTATGTATAGAGGTATGTTGAGATTCTTTATCGGAGGTACTTCGAGTCATGTTGTGTAACCTAGTTCACAACAATCGAAGGATCCGTCGAAGAATGTGTGCTCGCATAATTTCGTGGCCGTGTACCAGCATGGAGCAGGATCACTGATGTAAGATTCATGATAGAAGAAATTAAGGGATCATGAATTTGTTGTGATGGAGACGATAATTGAAAAAGATGAGTTTATAAAC